AGTACAACACCATAAAACTCCACACACATTGGAAATACCCATAAATATCATTTCTCTCATATCGTCCGCTCTCTCCATACATCGGGGAGAGTCTGGGATTGGATGACACGCACGTCACATGCTTTATTACTCATGTCGGAGTGATTTAGTGCTCGTACCTGTGCTGCACAGAGGAACGATATGAGACTGTGTTTGGCAGTGACTGTTTGAAAACTTGGCCGGTGCAGCTCGGTTCATATGTAAAGAATTGCGTGGTCTTGTTATGGTGATGTATGAGTTTATAGCAACCAATTTCTGCGTAAAAATATTTATAGTGGAATAAATGTCCAAGAAAATCTGGATGTGTTAGTTCAACTTTTCCTGTATGGTCAAAAATATCTCCGAATACTGTTAAAGAAAAGAAGTTGCGAAAGACAATGTTTATTAATTCTATTCCAACGTGTCCAAACGGAGGCTGAGTGGCAGATCCAGCCCTGGGCCCTCATCCATTTTAATGCTCTGGGTTCAGTCAAACAAGGACAATGCAAAGAAAAAGTGCAATGTTTATGATTAATTTAATGATTGTGAAATGGTACCAGCTTCAGTCTGGTCTGCATTTCCCAATAATTTCACGATAAAGTGTGTTGCACAATCCAAAAGCAGAAAGAAGCATCTTGGAACTCAACTTCACAGCAATCAAATGAGAAAGAGATTAGTTCTATGTATTGAAATGAGACGTTTAGACCGGTAAATATTTACTCGTCTTTTGTTTTTGTTTTTTGCAGAGATGTGTTAAAGAAAACTAAATGGTAAAAAAGATTTGGTTGTCACGGTAACAGTGGTATATGTACTGTAGTGTTTTCCCTTCCTTGACCTCTTAATGAATCCAGACTCTTAAACCAAGCTCATAATAATCACTGACTTCTCTGGCTCCTGGAAAAGCCATGTTCCAGCTTCTTCCCTCTGGCAGAAGATATCAATCGTTGGGATGCAGGACATGTCGTTTTGCTAACAGCTTCTTTCAGTTGTTAGCCGTTCAAACAGAGCACTTTAAATTATCTTTACATGTGTTTTATGCATGTATTTGTCTTGCCTGTATTGTGTGCAAACTGGGGACTTTTGCAAATGTATTCTAATGTGGTTTTGCTGCAAATGGCAAAAAAAATTACTCTGACTCTGAGGAGCACAGGGACTGGCCTCCTGCTGGGAATCTGAGGAGCACAGGGACTGGCCTCCTGCTGGGAATCTGAGGAGCACAGGGACTGGCCTCCTGCTGGGACTCTGAGGAGCATAGGGACTGGCCTCCTGCTGGGAATCTGAGGAGCACAGGGACTGGCCTCCTGCTTGGACTCTGAGGAGCACAGGGACTGGCCTCCTGCTTGGACTCTGAGGAGCACAGGGACTGGCCTCCTGCTGGGACTCTGAGGAGCATAGGGACTGGCCTCCTGCTTGGACTCTGAGGAGCACAGGGACTGGCCTCCTGCTGGGACTCTGAGGAGCATAGGGACTGGCCTCCTGCTGGGACTCTGAGGAGCATAGGGACTGGCCTCCTGCTGGTCCCAGAGTCAGGACTAAACATGAGAAGGCAGAATTTCAGATTTATGCAGCTAAAATCTTCCTGAAAATGTGAGACAGGCTTCTTCTCTGACCATGTTTAAAAACAGGTTAAAAAAAAGGTCCTCTTTATCTGCAGAGATTTATGATTTTTATTCCGTGTGTAGCTGTCTCTGTCTTGTTTTGTTCAGCACTAGTTGTCTTTGTGTATGAACTGTACTCTACAGATAAACTTGCCTTTGCGCTGCACTTCGTTCTGCTGCCCCCTAGAGGCCACACGCGGTACACCCAGAAGAACACACACTTCAGTTATGTTTCAACATATGTTTATTTTTTATTATCTTGCAAACATTCTGCCAGCAGGTGAAGTTTACATATATGCTAATAATTCCATTTAGAAGCGCTGCTAACGTACAATCAAGGCAGGCCAAACGAGTAGGAGAAAGAAAGAGTTTGCAGGGAGATGGTGTATTGCATTTAAAGCTCTCACTTCCTGAAGCCAACCCACACGGATCATGCTCGCCTCCACTCACGCAAAATTATCATTACAATTAAAAATAAACAGCGCAAAGCAGTGATTAGCTGAGGTGCAATTAGCGCGTTTAATTACAGTATGGTTTCTCTCTACTACTAATTCACCATTTACAATCCGCGACAACAGTATAACCTTTGGCTGGGTGGGTGGGTAGCACGCACCCAGACTTTTTCATCTATAACTGACTTTGCTGCTTCGTAAAACGTGTGTATTTCAGCCCGTAGTAAAATAATCAATAATTACAATAAGCTGTAAGCGTTTATAATGACTCTTTACAAGCAGGACACAGTGGACCATAACTTTAGAAATCTCTGCGATGAAGCGAAAAAAACCGACTAAACTGCCTTTTTCAGGACACATATCAAGAGTAGGTTCAAGGCTGTGTCACTCTAAGCAGAAAATCTGTGTTTAACAAAACGTAAGAAACTTAATTACATTGCATATTCTCGCTATAGAAACAGTTCTCGTATAAATGAAATAGAAATGAAATCGCTGAGATGTCTGACGGTCTCGCTCCAAACGGTTTGGATCAGGAATTACAATAAGGCCACAAATGTGTAGTAACAAATGTGTGTGATGCTACAGACTCGGACACTGATCCCACTGTGAGAAAAGTCACTCAAGTCTGTTATTAAGTAAATATTTGTGTTTCTTGCGCTGCTCTTTCACGTAATTTTGTAGTTTTTTTTGTCTTTTTGTGGTGTGTTTTGTGAAAATATTGATTGTGGCCACTGTGCTTTGTCCTCCTGATCCTAATACACATACTCAAGTTTTAGGGATGCACCGATCGTGATATTTTGGGCCGATACATAACAACTTTATGCACTGGGACGGTTTGCAGCCGAGTGCGAAGCGGCTGGGATGAGAATCAGCACCTCCAAATCCGAGGCCATGGTGCTCGACCGGAAAAAGGTGCCTTGCCCTCTTCAGGCGGGTGGAGAGGTCCTTCCTCAAGTGGAGGAGTTCAAGTATCTCGGGGTCTTGTTCACGAGTGAGGGGAGGATGGAGCGTGAGATTGACAGGCGGATCGGTGCAGCGTGCGCAGTGATGCGGTCGCTGTATCGGACCGTTGTGGTAAAGAGGGAGCTGAGCCGAAAGGCAAAGCTCTCGATTTACCGGTCAATCTTCGTTCCCTCCCTCACCTATGGTCATGAGCTTTGGGTAATGACCGAAAGAACGAGATCGCGGATACAAGCGGTCGAAATGAGCTTCCTCCGCAGAGTGGCTGGGCGCTCCCTTAGAGATAGGGTGAGGAGCTCGGTCACACGGGAGGAGCTCGGAGTAGAGCCGCTGCTTCTCCACGTCGAGAGGAACCAGTTGAGGTGGCTCGGGCATCTGTTCAGGATGCCTCCTGGACGCCTTCCTGGGGAGGTGTTCCGGGCACGTCCCACCGGGAGGAGGCCCCGGGGAAGACCCAGGACACGCTGGAGAGACTATGTCTCTCAGCTGGCCTGGGAACGCCTTGGGGTCCCCCCGGACGAGCTGGAGGAGGTGTGTGTGGATAGGGAAGTCTGGGCGTCTCTGCTTAGACTGCTGCCCCCGCGACCCGGCAACGGATAAAGCGGAAGAAAATGGATGGATGGATGGACATAACAACTTGGCCAACTCCATCCATCCATCCATTTTCTTCCCCTTAATCCATGTCTGGGCCCCTCACTGATCCTCCTGCAGCTGCTGAGTCCACAGGAAGCTGCTCTGTCGGTGACATCACAGCCTTGATCTTTCCGTGGGGGCTTCAGGCAAAGTGAGGTGAAGTGTCTTGCCCAAGGACACGATGACAGCAGACATTAGACCCGAACCTTCAGGCTCAAAGGCCAATGCTCTACCAACTGAGCCACTGTCGCCCCTTTTCTCTTTGCTATTCATAAATACACAGTTAATGTCTTGGCTTCAGTTTTCCTTCAGCTTCCTGCAGTCACTGTAGCTCCGCCTCCTCCTTCTCAAACGTCCAATGAGATTCTTTTTTAAATTATTTTCTCGCAGCTCTCGAAATCTCACTGAACTCGTGCAAACTGCATCCCGCTGATCTTTTTCTGATTCTGTCAAATATCGCCACAGTACCGACGCCATCTTCTTTGCTTCTTCCACTGAGGAAAGAGCACAGGTGCCCCCTACTGGTGACTTTTTGCACACGCCACCAACGCCCAATGTCATTTTTATTTACCAATGTCTGATGGTTGTTAAAAAGGCAAACATTGGACGATACAGATGTTCAGCCGATGCATCCCTAAAACATTTCTTTCTTCATAAAAACTATTTGTGGGACCCTTATTTTGTAGTCCTACTTTAAAGACTATTACAAAGACACCGATTTGAGACGTTAACAAACACAGAACAAGTTTACAGATTGCCGTTAGAAGCACATTTAACAGAGCCCAGTGCGACTAAAAACCACTGGCACATGAGCAACACACGCCCAACCTCCAGATTCACGCTTGGTTTGGTTCACTTTAAAGGAGCAGTGTGTAAAAATGTGGCCAAAAGTGGTACTGCAGCCTCTCCCACTCTCCCTGACTCAGGTTGCCAGATATGCAGACGAATCCAGCTGAGACCATAACAGCTGAATAGACAAGAGTTTTATCAACAACATATTGAAAATTACACATTGCTATTTTTTTTTTTTTTTGATTAGTCGTTTGTTACTGCTGTTCGAGGACAGTGATGATACAGAAAAGGTAAGGACCTTTATGGACATTTAGGGACAGCTAATAACATTTATGACTGTTATTATTGCATTTCCTGTGTTTGAAATGTTTGATTCTCTGATGGGTTGCTGGCGAATTGACAACATTATAAAGTTCTCAGAGACGACAGCGGTTGTTATTCAGGACTAAACAAAAATCCCTTGAGTTTAATTGAACGTAATTGAAGCAGACCTGTTGTGTCGGTGGCCGTACTGTAAAACCTGACGCTCTCCTCACGCTCCACATTCTCAGTTGTTATTATTGACATTGTTGATATTGGACACGCGCGGTTGGATGGTCACCCTCCTCACGGGCGTCTGATCTGCGTTCCGATTGGCCACCAGCTCCTGAAGCTGCAAAGCCCCGCCCCCAATGAAGCAGAAGGCGGGGCACACGGGGCCGGAGCAGTCCACGTGCCCCTCCCACAGCGGTCGGAGCGAGTGGGCGTCGTAGAAGGTCACCCGCCCCTTCTCGAAGTCCAGGCACACGCCCAGCCGCGGGGGCAGCGGGTACGTGACGCCCGCGGGGCCTGTGGGGGCGTTGCCGTTGGTGATGGAGTCGCGGTTGTTGTTGCCGTGGTGATAGTTGTGCTGGGGCAGGTAGATCTTCCCCATCCCCATCGTGAGGAAGCAGAAGGGAGGAGCCGAGTCCACGCCGTCCTCTGCGCCGCTGTCATGGCCGCTGTCCGGGTCGTAGCTGCAGGAGAAGATTTAGTAACACTTTAGATTAGTCTTCAGTAATTAACAGATAATTAAGTGCTAATTAGTGTACCCTAGCCCTAACCCCCTCCCCTCATAAGAACACTTCATAAACCATCACTGACCTCTGCCTTTATGACCAACACTTTATGCTACTGTCACTTTACTTAACGGCCTATTACTGTATATGCACTTATATATAGTAAACTGAAGAAATGTATGTAGATTTTAATTTATGCTTTTTTGTTTTTAATCTGCTTAAACTTATTTGCACCGAGAGCCAAAGCAATTTCCTAGTTTGTGACTTCTTGTTGCTCACATGGCGATAAAAGGATTCTGATTCTTACTAGCCTTAGCCCCAAACCTTAGCCCTAACCCTGATGTAAATGATATTATAATGTTGTGTTGTTATGACTTCAGCCTCTTACCGGGGACTGGCCATGTCCTGTGGAAGGTGGAACCACTCCTGCAGTTTGGACTCCAGACCCACACCCACCTGCAAACACCAACGATTCTTACTATGCACTGATACGATACCGGTGTCGGGTATTGGGTCGATACCATAGGACTTGGTGCCAGCAGCTGGAGCTAGCACCGGAGCATTTGTATGAGTGGAGTTTGACAGTGGCTCTAATTGTTGACGTTAAAACAAGCGCTAGAATGTTTAATCGTCAAAGCATTTTCTAATTATAACAAGAAGAAAAAAACCCTATTACATTTCAGTTTTATTAGTTTTACAAATTCATATTGGTTTTGAAAACAGTGGCATCAGTGCATCCCTAATAGTTACTTAATGTTTTGGTTCAATACAACACTATATTTAACAGTGTATATTGTCACTATACACCGTTAAACTTTTATCCCGATACAGTTTGAAACCAACCATTACTTTCTAGTTCTTGATATCAAATCAGCGAGTTGCAAAATAGTTCCCAGTTTACACCTCGCTCATTCATCTGTTGTTGAACGTCGTTTTGAGTCTGTATCTGAAAATTCAAAGTTGATGGAGTACACACAGGTGCGTTTCATTCTGTGTTTTTATGAAATGATTGGATTAACAGCCGTTCACAGGAGCTCCGCAGCATCAGTCACGGTTGGACGGGGTTCGGAGCCGACAGATGCATTTGTGGAGGTGATAAACGCGGGTCTTCACACCGAGACACGGAGCCGTCTAGACACCTATCAGGGCGTGTGATTGAATTCATAAAAATGGCCCCGCAATAAAATAATATCATTTTTGCAGCGCTTTGTTTAAGATTGAATGTGACTGGGTGTATTTCATGCTCTTCTATCGCTTCATAACACAGATGGAACTCTGGGAATAAATACCCAGCTCGGTCCAATGAGTTTTTCCTGCCGTGATGCCCTTTTTGAGGACTTTTGAGAAGTGTTCTAGCTCCGCAAATGAGTATACTTCTTTAATTACACTGCAAAACGTGATGGAAAATCAGTACAACATTGCTCAAATTTTGCAAAATGTGTCTCAATTTGAGCTCATTTTGACTGAGCCTTAAAACAAGATTCCTCAACGGGACAAAGCAAAATAATCTGGTTTTAAAAAGATACAGAAATGTGCTTGAGTTTAGACAAAATAACACAATTCAAGCATTTATCACCTCATATTTTATGTTTTTTTTGCAGTGTAGAGGTTATTTACTTTTTAATAAGTAAAGTTTGCTTGTGTCTAGATTGAAAACACACAATATTGTCTGTTTGAAATGAACCAATCTTTACTCAGCTGCATTTTAAGATTAAATGTTGTTTTAGGTCTGCACGATTTAAAAAAAAATATATAAAAATATATATACTGTACATATTTACTGTACAAAAAAATATATATGAAAAATATATATACTGTATTTAACCTTTATTAAAGACAACAAAACAGACACATCCACATTCAACAAGAATAACAAACAAAAAAGTATATAAATGTGTGTGTCATTAATGTTGTGCTTATTTTTTGTTATCTGCCTCTTGTGTTTCGATGCAGATGCAATTTTAGGTGAAAGTCCAAAATATCGCAATAATATCGTTATCACAAAACTAAACACTCGAATATCGTGCAGCTCTATTGTTTGTTGATGTGACTTTACGCTGCGGAGTCTGTTCTGGTTCCGGAAGTTTAATCCTCATTTATTGTATTCAGAAAACAGTTTTGAAGCGATTATGGAGACAAATATCTCCAGCACATAAAACACATGCTCAGGGACTACAGCTGTGGATAAGCACTGCTGCTACAACCTGCTCTGGGACTACAGCTGTGGATTAGCACTGCTGCTACAACCTGCTCTGGGACTACAGCTGTGGATTAGCACTGCTGCGACAACCTGCTCTGGGACTACAGCTGTGGATTAGCACTGCTGCTACAACCTGCTCTGGGACTACAGCTGTGGATTAGCACTGCTGCGACAACCTGCTCTGGGACTACAGCTGTGGATTAGCACTGCTGCTACAACCTGCTCTGGGACTACAGCTGTGGATAAGCACTGCTGCGACAACCTGCTCTGGGACTACAGCTGTGGATTAGCACTGCTGCGACAACCTGCTCGTGGACTACAGCTGTGGATTAGCACTGCTGCGACAACCTGCTCTGGGACTACAGCTGTGGATTAGCACTGCTGCTACAACCTGCTCTGGGACTACAGCTGTGGATTAGCACTGCTGCGACAACCTGCTCTGGGACTACAGCTGTGGATTAGCACTGCTGCTACAACCTGCTCTGGGACTACAGCTGTGGATAAGCACTGCTGCTACAACCTGCTCTGGGACTACAACTGTAGATTAGCACTGCTGCTACAACCTGCTCTGGGACTACAGCTGTGGATTAGCACTGCTGCGACAACCTGCTCTGGGACTACAGCTGTGGATTAGCACTGCTGCTACAACCTGCTCTGGGACTACAGCTGAGGATTAGCACTGCTGCGACAACCTGCTCTGGGACTACAGCTGTGGATAAGCACTGCTGCTACAACCTGCTCTGGGACTACAGCTGTGGATTAGCACTGCTGCTACAACCTGCTCTGGGACTACAGCTGTGGATTAGCACTGCTGCTACAACCTGCTCTGGGACTACAACTGTAGATTAGCACTGCTGCTACAACCTGCTCTGGGACTACAGCTGTGGATTAGCACTGCTGCGACAACCTGCTCTGGGACTACAGCTGTGGATTAGCACTGCCGCTACAACCTGCTCTGGGACTACAGCTGTGGATTAGCACTGCTGCTACAACCTGCTCTGGGACTACACCTGTGGATTAGCACTGCTGCGACAACCTGCTTTGGGACTACAGCTGTGGATTAGCACTGCCGCTACAACCTGCTCTGGGACTACAGCTGTGGATTAGCACTGCTGCGACAACCTGCTCGGGGACTACAGCTGTGGATTAGCACTGCTGCGACAACCTGCTCTGGGACTACAGCTGTGGATTAGCACTGCTGCGACAACCTGGTCGGGGACTACAGCTGTGGATTAGCACTGCCGCTACAACCTGCTCTGGGACTACAGCTGTGGATTAGCACTGCTGCGACAACCTGCTCTGGGACTACAGCTGTGGATTAGCACTGCTGCGACAACCTACTCTGGGACTACAGCTGTGGATTAGCACTGACGCTACAACCTGCTCTGGGACTACAGCTGTGGATTAGCACTGCTGCGACAACCTGCTCTGGGACTACAGCTGTGGATTAGCACTGCTGCGACAACCTGCTCTGGGACTACACCTGTGGATTAGCACTGCTGCTACAACCTGCTCTGGGACTACAGCTGTGGATTAGCACTGCTGCGACAACCTGCTCTGGGACTACAGCTGTGGATTAGCACTGCTGCTACAACCTGCTCTGGGACTACAGCTGTGGATTAGCACTGCCGCTACAACCTGCTCTGGGACTTCAGCTGTGGATTAGCACTGCTGCGACAACCTGCTCGGGGACTACAGTTGTGGATTAGCACTGCTGCTACAACCTGCTCTGGGACTACAGCTGTGGATTAGCACTGCTGCTACAACCTGCTCTGGGACTACAGCTGTGGATTAGCACTGCTGCGACAACCTGCTCGGGGACTACAGCTGTGGATTAGCACTGCTGCTACAACCTGCTCTGGGACTACAGCTGTGGATTAGCACTGCTGCGACAACCTGCTCTGGGACTACAGCTGTGAATTAGCACTGCTGCGACAACCTGCTCTGGGACTACAGCTGTGGATTAGCACTGCTGCGACAACCTGCTCGTGGACTACAGCTGTGGATTAGCACTGCTGCGACAACCTGCTCTGGGACTACAGCTGTGGATTAGCACTGCTGCGACAACCTGCTCTGGGACTACAGCTGTGGATTAGCACTGCTGCTACAACCTGCTCTGGGACTACAGCTGTGGATTAGCACTGCCGCTACAACCTGCTCTGGGACTTCAGCTGTGGATTAGCACTGCTGCGACAACCTGCTCGGGGACTACAGCTGTGGATTAGCACTGCTGCTACAACCTGCTCTGGGACTACAGCTGTGGATTAGCACTGCTGCTACAACCTGCTCTGGGACTACAGCTGTGGATTAGCACTGCTGCGACAACCTGCTCGGGGACTACAGCTGTGGATTAGCACTGCTGCTACAACCTGCTCTGGGACTACAGCTGTGGATTAGCACTGCTGCGACAACCTGCTCTGGGACTACAGCTGTGAATTAGCACTGCTGCGACAACCTGCTCTGGGACTACAGCTGTGGATTAGCACTGCTGCGACAACCTGCTCGTGGACTACAGCTGTGGATTAGCACTGCTGCGACAACCTGCTCTGGGACTACAGCTGTGGATTAGCACTGCTGCTACAACCTGCTCCGGGACTACAGCTGTGGATTAGAAATGCTGCTACAACCTGCTCTGGGACTACACCTGTGGATTAGCACTGCTGCTACAACCTGCTCTGGGACTACAGCTGTGGATTAGCACTGCTGCTACAACCTGCTCTGGGACTACAGCTGTGGATTAGCACTGCTGCTACAACCTGCTCTGGGACTACAGCTGTGGATTAGCACTGCTGCTATAACCTGCTCAGGGACTACACCTGTGGATTAGCACTGCTGCTATAACCTGCTCAGGGACTACACCTGTGGATTAGCACTGCTGCTACAACCTGCTCTGGGACTACAGCTGTAGATTAGCACTGCTGCGACAACTTGCTCTGGGACTACAGCTGTAGATTAGCACTGCTGCGACAACCTGCTCTGGGACTACAGCTGTGGATTAGCACTGCTGCAACAACCTGCTCTGGGACTACAGCTGTAGATTAGCACTGCTGCGACAACTTGCTCTGGGACTACAGCTGTGGATTAGCACTGCTGCGACAACCTGCTCCGGGACTACAGCTGTGGATTAGCACTGCTGCTACAACCTGCTCTGGGACTACACCTGTGGATTAGCACTGCTGCTACAACCTGCTCTAGGACTACAGCTGTGGATTAGCACTGCTGCTACAACCTGCTCAGGGACTACAGCTGTGGATTAGCACTGCTGCTACAACCTGCTCTAGGACTACAGCTGTGGATTAGCACTGCTGCTACAACCTGCTCTGGGACTACAGCTGTGGATTAGCACTGCTGCTACAACCTGCTCAGGGACTACAGCTGTAGATTAGCACTGCTGCGACAACCTGCTCGGGGACTACAGCTGTGGATTAGCACTGCTGCGACAACCTGCTCTGGGACTACACCTGTGGATTAGCACTGCTGCGACAACCTGCTCTGGGACTACACCTGTGGATTAGCACTGCTGCGACAACCTGCTCGGGGACTACAGCTGTGGATTAGCACTGCTGCGACAACCGGCTCTGGGACTACACCTGTGGATTAGCACTGCTGCGACAACCTGCTCGGGGACTACAGCTGTGGATTAGCACTGCTGCGACAACCTGCTCTGGGACTACAGCTGTGGATTAGCACTGCTGCTACAACCTGCTCAGGGACTACACCTGTGGATTAGCACTGCTGCTACAACCTGCTCAGGGACTACACCTGTGGATTAGCACTGCTGCTACAACCTGCTCAGGGACTACACCTGTGGATTAGCACTGCTGCTACAACCTGCTCAGGGACTACACCTGTGGATTAGCACTGCTGCTTCTGGAACAGTGGGTTCTCAGTTCTTTATCTACACTGAACAAAACCGCTCTAAAACTAAATCACGTTTGTCTGAAAAACCTCCGTAATATTCTAACCGGAGCATGATTCTTTTACCTTGACCAGGTAAGAGCCGGGCTCCACTGAGCATGCCCAGTAGTGCCGTCCCTGTGTGATGGCCACGTCCCCCACCAGGAGGTCAGAGGTCAGGTGACAGGACGTGAGGGCGTGGTCGGCCGCCTGCAGCAGCGACAGTCCCGGGACGCTCCGGGCGCAGCGCTGCTCCTTGGTCACCACCAGGCGGTCGGCGTGGAGCCCCCAGCGAGAGTCCAGGTAGAAGTTTAGTACTGAGAGGAACAAGGACAGAGGAGACGAGGAAGGAAGACAAGGAGGTAAGGAAGTAGGAAGGACACTGCAGAAAACAACAGGGACGTTTACGAAGTACGAGAGGTCGGATCGTCTCGGGTTGCTGAAGTTTGAGTGCATCAGAAAATCTATAATTCAGATTTTTGTTCATTTTCAGTTCAATTATATTTATCTAAGTTTGAATCCATCAGAAATCTGCTCAAAAGTCACTCGGTAAAAAATCTGAATTATCGAGAAATATCACTTTATCACTCATAATGAAAAATGAATTTATCAAGTGCATTTTCTCATTAGCTACTCACAAATATTGGCTTTTTATTTGTCTCTTGCTTTAGAGCAGGTGTCTCCAACCTTTTCACCCAGAGAGCTACTTTCCCAGGATGATAAAGGCAGAGAGCTACTTTCCCAGGACGATAAAGGCAGAGAGCTACTTTCCCAGGATGATAAAGGCAGAGAGCTACTTTCCCATGACAATAAAGGCAGAGAGCTACTTTCCCATGACAATAAAGGCAGAGAGCTACTTTCCCGGGACGATAAAGGCAGAGAGCTACTTTCCCGGGACGATAAAGGCAGAGAGCTACTTTCCCGGGACGATAAAGGCAGAGAGCTACTTTCCCCCGGGACAATAAAGACAGAGAGCTACTTTCCCGGGACGATAAAGGCAGAGAGCTACTTTCCCAGGATGATAAAGGCAGAGAGCTACTTTCCCGGGACGATAAAGGCAGAGAGCTACTTTCCCAGGATGATAAAGGCAGAGAGCTACTTTCCCCCGGGACGATAAAGGCAGAGAGCTACTTTCCCTCGGGACGATAAAGGCAGAGAGCTACTTTCCCAGGACAATAAAGGCAGAAAGCTACTTTCCCAGGATGATAAAGGCAGAGAGCTACTTTCCCGGGACGATAAAGGCAGAGAGCTACTTTCCCAGGATGATAAAGGCAGAGAGCTACTTTCCCAGGACGATAAAGGCAGAGAGCTACTTTCCCAGGATGATAAAGGCAGAGAGCTACTTTCCCGGGATGATAAAGGCAGAGAGCTACTTTCCCCCGGGACGATAAAGGCAGAGAGCTACTTTCCCCCAGGACGATAAAGGCAGAGAGCTACTTTCCCAGGACAATAAAGGCAGAGAGCTACTTTCCCAGGATGATAAAGGCAGAGAGCTAATTTCCCAGGACGATAAAGGCAGAGAGCTACTTTCCTGGGACGATAAAGGCAGAGAGCTACTTTCCTGGGACGATAAAGACAGAGAGCTACTTTCCTGGGACAATAAAGGCAGAGAGCTACTTTCCCCCGGGACAATAAAGGCAGAGAGCTACTTTCCCCCAGGACGATAAAGGCAGAGAGCTACTTTCCCAGGACAATAAAGGCAGAAAGCTACTTTCCCAGGATGATAAAGGCAGAGAGCTACTTTCCCGGGACGATAAAGGCAGAGAGCTACTTTCCCCCGGGACGATAAAGGCAGAGAGCTACTTTCCCAGGATGATAAAGGCAGAGAGCTACTTTCCCGGGACGATAAAGGCAGAGAGCTACTTTCCCAGGACGATAAAGGCAGAGAGCTACTTTCCCAGGATGATAAAGGCAGAGAGCTACTTTCCCCCGGGACGATAAAGGCAGAGAGCTACTTTCCCAGGACGATAAAGGCAGAGAGCTACTTTCCTGGGACGATAAAGGCAGAGAGCTACTTTCCTGGGACGATAAAGACAGAGAGCTACTTTCCTGGGACGATAAAGGCAGAGAGCTACTTTCCCCCGGGACGATAAAGGCAGAGAGCTACTTTAAAAATGTTATTACGACTGTGAAAAGGAGTAGCTCTCTGCCTCTTTTGTCGCATAAAAGTAGCTCCCTGATGGAAAAAGGTTGGAGACCCCTGCTTTATAGAGTCCGTACAGACTTCTGAGCAAAAAATGAAGTTATCAATAAAAATAGTTCTTTAATCCACACAATAGCGACCATTTTGGCTTTTTTTTCAGAATGATGCACAATTTAACCGCATTTTCAGCAACACAAAGAAATCCGACACCAGCAGCAGTCTGAGGAAAAGACATTTACGGAGAAGAAACTTTGGAGTGGGAAGCCCCCCCCCCCCACCGGCGCACAGTGGCTCCGGGGGACGCAGACGTATCGGAAAAGGCTTTTGCACTTTGGGTTTTAGAACAAATACAATTAACAGAGGATTTCTAAGCAATAGCAGAGGGGAGAGAAACGGCCTACGGGGGGCGCCACTGAGACCACCGCAGACCCCGGCGTTTGAACGGAGATCCATGTTGTTAAGCCCTGGTCTTAACCAACTGCACGGATCAGCAGCTTCGGAGAGAGTCAGGAGAAAACACCACAACAAAACCAGGGCTCGGCCAAACGTCAAACTCAAGATAACTCAGTCTACAGTCCGAAGTATTCGGTTAAAATCTGTGATCTGAGGATTTGGGGAAGAGTGAGAAAATATATGAGAGATATTTAACTTTTATTAGTCCCTAAGTTTGGACATTTCTGTGTCATTGTTGCTCACTTTAAAACAAGACACTTTAATAATCTTGCCATTTTTAACCTTATTTTTTTATGTACTTGTCTGGTGCATTCTGGGAACTTTTGCAAATGTATTCCGATGTGGTTTTACTGCAAATGGCAAATAAATGAGTCTGAAATAGAAGGAGAAATAACGGTTTCGCACATGAACAAGATCTATTGTTTAAGATTATAGAATATTAATAAAAATGAAAATAAAATAACAAACTCTGGAACATTTCTGACAGAATGGTGAATATATCGCCTTTAAATGTATATTAACAAGTATAGTATGTATGCAGCCTCTCCCACTCTCCCTGACTCAGGTTGCCAGATATGCAGACGACTCCAGCTGGGACCATAACAGCTGAATAGACGAGCGTTTTATATCTGTCATTCCTTGAGGTGAGTTTGACAAACGTCCGAACCATCACAGAACAGGGTCCTTACGTCCACAGACACGTCACAGACAGGTCACAGACAGGTCACAGACAGGTCACAGACAGGTCACAGACAGGTCACAGACAGGTCACACACAGGTCACAGACAGGTCACAGACAGGTCACACACAGGTCACAGACAGGTCACACACAGGTCACAGACAGACTGCAGAGAGGAGCTCGGGGAAGGACCAGAACAACACTGAAACGGGAATCGCATTTATACGAAGGGAAATGAAGCGAAGAAGAAGTGATGACGACGAAGGCAAAGAGAGGACGGACAGAAAAAGAGACATTTATTAAGAAGTGGTTTCGATCGGAGCAGTTTGTGTTGTTGTGACGTGTGGGGAGGATGTGCTCGGGGATAAAAGGCCTCAGGAGACAGGAGCTCAGAGGAAATAACGAGGCAGTGTCGGCTCCGTCACCGACTCGCAACATCATCACCTTTTACCAGCGATTAAAGACACCGCTGCTTGTGGAAGGGAAAGAAAAACGTCTGCAGAGAGATTTACGGTAAGATTTCTATGACAAGTTAATGGTTACAAATATAGATCAGACTAATTACCGTATTTTTCAGAATATAAGTCACTCCGGAGAATAACTCGCACCAGCCAAAAATGCATAATAAAGAAGGGAAAAACAAATAAGTTGCATTTTTTGGGGTAAATTATCTGATAAAATCTAGCACCAAGAAAAGAGATTTAATCTTGAGGCAATTTAAAAGAGAATAGAGAATAACAGGCTGAATAAGTGTGCGTTATCTGAGGCATCAACAACAAACTGAGAACTTCCTGGTTTGTTAATGTCACATGTTACAGTAAAAGTCAACAAAACTTTAGCATAAAGAACAAGTTTACCAAAGAATCAGTGTCACTCCTAATCACTAAATCCAATCTACTTCCGCTAACTCCAAGGTATAGATAGAATATGAAATTTTAAAAAGAAAATGTTATTGTTTCATAAGTTGCTCCAGAGTCCCCCTGACCAAACCATGACAAAAACTCTGACTTACAATCTGAAAAATACGGTATATTCAGTGTGTTGCGGACACTTTTGTGACCAACTATCGTCCAATGCTTTGGGATAAGTTTAATTGACACTATTTTAGTTTCAGGGACGTGCGGTGAGGTTTGTGATTGGGGAGGCACTGACTTTAAAAATCAGATTTACAATCATTATTCAAATAAAATAGCATTTAATCACCAATGCAATGACATCCACAAACTTTATATACTGTAAAGATAAGAGAACCAGCTTCTTTTAATAATCTCACAACAAATCTAGCTGCTGACTCTGCTCCGCATCAAACAACATCTTTAAGAAGCGCAGGTGCGGGCGCTGTTGAGCGTTGGCATGTGAGGACGTGTCTGCAGTAGCTCCGCCAGAATGTGACTTTTTATTGTATTTTTACACCTTTTAACTTGGATTTGAACATAACCGCCAGTCTTCTAACTTTATTGAAACCAACCATGTCCGCCCCACCGAGGAAGAGCAGCGTAGGCATGGAAACTCGCCATAAATCTGAAACAGCGAAGACAGGCCGCATCCATCCTGCGGCCTCGCCTGAGCATGTGCCTGACCCCGGGTCTGATGCTAACGAGCGCCTGCTATGTCGTATGGAGGTAATGATGCAGAGCATGCGTTCGGACATTGTCACTGAGTTTGAGCAGATAGTATCAGGGGTAGTTAAACGGGAGATAGCCGCTGCCCTTCGTCCACTAGAAACATCTCTGAGTGCGCAGAGTGAAACCATTAATAGCTTGGAAGATACTGCTACAGATCATGGTGGCCAGCTAACTAGCTTACAAGCTACGGTAGCTTTGCTGACCGAGCAGGTTGGCTCTCTGTCGAAGAAATGCGAAGACCTGGAGGGGCGCTCAAGGCAGAATAATGTACGTATTGTTGGAGTGCCAGAGGGAGTTGAAGGAGCCCGACCTACTGATTTTGTGGCCACTTTACTACGAGACTTGCTTGGTCTGAACGACAAGCCCGTTTTGGATCGAGCGCATCGCACGCTCCGGCCTAAGCCCAAGGATGGAGAGCCCCCTCGCCCGTTTATTGCACGTGTAAACCTTTTCCAACAACGCAACGAGATTTTGCGTAGAGCTGGTGCATCGGCTCCACTCCTATACCAGGGGAAAAGGGTGTCCGTGTTCCCGGATTTCACTGCCGTCGTTTCTAAGAAAAGATCCGCTTTTGCTACGGTGAAAAAATCGCTCCATTCATGCCCGGGTGTGAAGTTTGGCCTGTTCTATCCTGCTGTGCTGCGTGTTACCCTTCCCGGTGGACAGACTCATCGTTTTGAAGACCCAGAAATTGCAGCGGACTTTGTGACCAAACATGTGAAGACTATGGTGTCTCCTGACTCTATCTGATGTGTCTGTCTTTCACTTAAAAACATTTGGAAGCTGCAGTAGCCACCAGTCAGAGTAACGTTACAGTTTTGCACATTTGGTAATATGTTGCCCCCTTTGTTTTGTTGTGTTGACTGTTGCATTAATACAGCCCGTTATTGCAGTATGTTTTTTTTTTCCATTTAAAATATTTTGTTCTTTTTTAGCATTAATTCTAGGCTTTAACCTAATGTTATTGCTACCCTGCTAATAATGTTGCCTGATAGTTATCACTTTTATTTGTTTATTTGTATTTCCTGACAAATAGGTTATTGTTGTTGTCCATTCTGCTATAGGCATACAGGTATTCCTTGTATCCATTTTCTTACTTACACTATTTTAAATTGTTTTGACCACTTTACCTATTTAAAAGGTGCTTTTTGTTGAGACTTGGTGTATTTTCTATAATTTGTTTTTTTTTTTGTCACATTCCACATGGAGGGTTATAGTTTTAGTTTCCTCCTTCACCTTCTGAAGGTTTGCTATGGGATATTTGGGGGGATTGGGGTTCGCGCATTCCATTTGGGGGAATGCTTCTGCGATTTTTTGTGTTTTTTGTTTGTTTTCATGCCATCAACTTCTCTACACTGCTATTATTACATTTGATGTGTCCATAATATGTTCATATAAGTTTGCGGGACAACCTGAATGCAATAATTTGATTTTACCATTATGTTGTCTTCAGTAGGAAAGGACCTCCGGTTCGCTAGCTTTAACTGCAAAGGACTTAATAATCCAGTGAAACGCAGTAAGGTGCTCCACCATCTACAGCAGCTTGGTGCTCAAATAGTCTTCCTCCAAGAGACCCACCTTAAGAACCTGGATCACCTGAAGTTAAAGAAAAGCTGGGTGGGCCAAGTGTATCATTCATCTTTTTCTGGTAAGGCTAGGGGTACAGCGATTCTCTTTCATAAGTCTGTTTCCTTTGTTCTTGAGCGGGTTCTCCCTGATCCTAATGGAAGATACGTTATTGTAACTGGCAAGCTCCTGGGTTTGAATATTGCATTGGCCAACGTCTATGCACCAAACTGTGATGATGAGTCCTTTTTTAAGCGTTTTTTCTCTCTGCTTCCTGATATGTCTGCTTATCATTTAATACTGGGAGGGGACTTTAATTGCTGGCTAGACCCCGCTCTAGATCGTTCTTCCACTAAACAAGTTGCACCTTCACGATCAGCGAAGACAATTCAAAATTTTATGGACGTGTTTTCTATATCTGACTCTTGGCGCTTTTTGAATCCCTCCAAGCGAGAATACTCATTCTTTTCTTCTGTGCATCACACGTTTACGCGCATTGACCTGTTTTTAGTCGATAATCGATTTCTATCAATGATATCTCTGTGTAGATATGATGCCATTGTTCTCTCTGACCATGCTCCTCTTTTGATGGATATAAAACTGAGAGCCTTATACCAGCGCCCCCTTTGGCGCCTCAATGTTCGGCTACTCCTAAATGATAATTTTATTAACTTTGTCTCAAATCAGATAGATTTTTTCTTGAGTACCAACAGAATGCCAGGAATGTCTGCTTCGTTGCTCTGGGAGTCCCTTAAGGCTTATATTAGAGGGGAAATAATCTCCTTTGTACATTTTGAGAACAAAATAAGAGATGAAAAATTAAACTGTATCAGGCAGCGAATATTGCAGCTAGATACCATATATGCAGCCTTGCCTTCACCGAACATTTATAAAGAACGTCTCGCTCTCCAATCTGAATTTGATGTACTCATGACCTCGCACACAACAGATCTTATGCTTCAGGCTAATACACAATTTTTCGAACATGGTGATAAAGCCGGTAAACTGCTGGCTCATCAGATCCGTCAGGTCTCCGCCTCCCGTCAAATAGCTAAGATTCAAACTAGTCAAGGGGAAACTACGGATCCCTCCAAAATTAATCAGACTTTTGAAGCCTTTTATCAGTCCTTATACTCGTCCGAGATTAAGCCTACAGATGAGGACTTTGATAGTTTTTTTTCACCCCTTCAAATTCCTACCATTAGTGAGGATTCAGCGAATAACCTTGGGGCATCCATTACATCCCAAGAAATTGGTGTAGCAATACAGTCCCTCCAGAGTGGGAAGTGCCCGGGCCCGGATGGATATCCATCAGAATTTTATAAGAAATTTAAGGATAAACTTACACCGTTGTTATTGGATATGTATACTGAATCATTCTCTCATGGTACGCTGCCAGAAACACTCAATCAAGCTGTAATTTCGCTCCTTCTGAAGAAAGGAAAGGACCCTTTACTTTGTTCCTCATATCGTCCCATAAGCTTGTTAAATGTCGATTTCAAACTACTATCAAAAATCCTAGCCAAACGCCTTGATAAAGTCTTACCTGTCATCATTAATCCTGATCAAACCGGTTTTATTCAAAACAGACATTCCTTTTCAAATTTGAGGAGACTTTTTAACATAATACATAATAACCCCCAGAATAAATCACAGGAAGCCTTGATATCGCTAGACGCTGAAAAGGCGTTTGATCGTGTGGAATGGCCATATTTATTTCACACTATGACAAGGTTTGGTCTCGGAGACACATTCCTATCCTGGGTTAAACTTCTGTACTCTAATCCATTGGTCGCTGTTAGGACCAACAACTCTCGCTCGGGTTACTTCTCGCTAAAGCGGTCTACCAGACAGGGCTGCCCTCTTAGTCCCCTCCTGTTTGCTCTAGCTATTGAACCCCTGGCTATTTCTATTCGGGCCGATCCAAATATTAAAGGCATACGAAGATTTAACTTAGAGGCAAAGGTCTCTCTATATGCCGATGACCTGCTTCTGTATGTCTCTGATGTCATAACTTCAACACCTGCAGTTTTACACTTACTATCTGACTTTGGTAAATTATCTGGTTATAAACTCAATTTAAATAAGAGTGAGATTTTTCCCTTGAATTCACCTGCTGATACGCCTTTGTAACGATAGCTAGTGGCTACGCAAGATCTGACTTTGGCTATTAACGGAATAGCAGTGTAGTGAGCAGAAGAGGGTGGTTCGGCAAGGAGCCTGAGGTGCACATAAAGACAACCGATATCTACGTGATAAAGAATTGTATTATAATAGTCCAACAGATGAAATATTATTGCACACAAAAAAAACAATACACCAGATTGCAGGTGTATGGAAAAAAACAGGTTCCACCACAAAGTCTGTAGGTAAAAGTCCAACAAAAAAAATGCTTGCTAACTTGCAAGGCTATTTAAGTTCCGCTCGAGGAGGATGAAAAGAAAAGTAATCCACAAAAAGCGTGTAGGAAGCAATAGACAGTTTGTCCTACCGCGTCGTTGTCTAGCTCGCCATTTGTTGAGTCGTGGTGTAGAAAGGCTCAGTTCATTGGGTTAGTCCATCCCATTACAAAAACCTGACCTGAGGCCAAAAACATAAATAAGTAACATTGCATTAAGGCTATACAAGGATTGGTATAACATCTTTTGTTATACAGGTTATTCTATTTCTAATACTAATACACATAGTATTAATAGTATACATAATAATCATGATTTCTCAGAAAAATTAAATGTATGAACACTAGTTCATCAGATCTACCGAAAATAACTCATTAAACAAGGTTGTAGAAGTGCACTAAAATATCTTTCACTAATCATCAATAATTGTCATTAGAAATATGAATGATCAGTAATCATGTTTTACGTCATAATACTCAAGCAGAGTTGATAAATAAAAGTGTTGCGCAACAAACAATAAACACACAGACGCGTCTCATTGGAGCGCACAGTAACTCCATTCATAATATGCTGAACTGCCTTTAAGAGCCTGCAAAAGTAAGACAGCATATTGGGAACACAGATCCAGTTAAACATGTCCTAAACTAAAGAGTTGCCTAACAATACGGCTTATTGATAAAAAGGAAAAGAGCGGGTTTACCTGAGTAACTTGGGGCAAACACGACACACCATGCATGGCCCGCTACTTAAAAGAACATGGCGGCTCTATGGGAGAATGGCATCACATTAGCGACTATGCTAAAACACCTCAAAAACAGTACTTAGCGATCTCTTATAAACAAATGCATTTAGGATTAGGCTTCTTCGGCCATGGCAAAAGACTCACCTAATTATGAAGTGTCAATAATGCGCGATTGGAGAGTTTCAGCAAGTCTACTCTCATAGGCCGTCTGTCAATGCTGCAGCCACAACGGAGACGGGAGGGGGGGAGGAGATGCGCGCAGCTGATAGTTAAAGAGACGGGCGCTTTTGGGGGAAGTTGGCTTACAAAATAAAAGTTTTTAAGACACTAAAGCCGTTTCAGTTAAGCATGTTAATCATGGTAATGAAATGCGGGTTACAGGTTCCCCCCCTATACTCATGTTCGGCCTCGTACATGGAGATGGCTGGCGGCACAACACTCTGCCTTGGGGAGTGGTCGTGGATCCAGCCTCCTCAATTTGCAAAGCAGACGCAATGACAGTGTTCAACCCTTGGAACAGACTCTGAATACTACGCATTACCGGATTCCCAAGTCTCGAATATTGCAGCCGATCGGGAGGTTGCCGGGTTCGAGTGGGACGTTGGGGTCGTGGTTCAGAGTCTGGACTGGACACGTCGGATACAGAGGGTAACTCTGGCTCACTGGATATACAGGGGGGTACTAGTGCTTGAGGAGAGCCTGACGTAGAGGAGGTTGGTTCCTCTGGCTGCTCCAAAGCATCAGTATCCCTCTCTGGCACTAGCTCAGGTTCCGGATCAACAGGAATTTCAAGTGCACCCTCCAGATCTGACACCCCACCAACAGAATCCTTTTCTGGAGTACTTGGCGACAGCTGGCCAGGCTGTATCACTGGTACCGTGACAGGGACTACTGGAGGCAAAGAAACAGGTAAGTCAATCACATGTGTGAATTTCGCAGGAGGGTAGTCGGTATCTGGTAAGTTAGGTAGATACACATCAGAAAGATCATATTCAGTTTCAGATTGTTGAACTTCGGAGGCAAGTGGGGTTGTCGGTTTGGTGGACAACACTGGCTGTTTCGGATTGGTTGGCTTGGAAGCTGTTTGGGCGGTTGACAAATAGCCACAAGGCAGCAGTAAATCGCGATGTAGGGTCCTTAGGGGTCGATCTTTTCCCTCTGGTTTGACAGTATATACCGGAAGAGTGCCGGCTCTCTTTTCGACAATATATACGTCTGGTTCCCACTTGTCTGCGATCTTGTGCTTGCCTCGGAGCTTGACGTTCCTAACCAAAACTCTATCCCCCACCGACAGTTCTGAAGTAGTGACTCGCTTATCAAATCTAAGCTTGTTTCTCTTCATAACCTTCTCTGCATCAGCAGACGCAATACGGTAGCTTTCTTTGAGATGGGACTTTAGCTTTTCAACATACTGTGAATGGGAAGTAAACTGGTTCCCAGACACTGTGAGGCCAAAGGCCAAGTCAACAGGCAAGCGTGCCTGTCGGCCGAACATTAGTTCATAAGGGGAGTAGCCAGTAACATCATGGCGGGTGCAATTGTAAGCATGCACCAGAGGCTTAACAAAGTCTCGCCAATGAACTTTTTCCTGATCCTGCAGGGTGCCCAACATGTTCAGGAGCGTGCGATTAAATCTCTCCACGGGATTGCCACGGGGGTGGTAAGGAGTGGTTCTAATCTTGTGGATTCCCATTATCTGACAGAGCTCTTTGATGGAATGTGATTCAAAGTCTGGCCCTTGGTCGCTATGGAGTCTTTCCGGTATTCCATAGTGGACCAGGAAGTTGTCCCACAGGGCTTTAGCTACTGTCTTCGCTCTCTGATTGGGAGTTGGGACCGCCACAGCATACTTGGTGAAATGGTCAGTGATGACAAGTACGTCTTTCGTATTGCTCCGATCTGGTTCGATGGAAAGAAAATCCATACAGACAAGCTCGAGCGGTCTCGAGGTTCTGATGTTTACAAGAGGTGCGGCTCTCTCAGGTAATGTCTTTCTCCGCACGCATCTCTCACACGCCTTGATCTTATTGTTGACATCAATGGACATCCGTGGCCAGTAAAAGCGTGATCGAACGAGGTCGAGTGTTCTTTCTGTGCCGAGATGGCCCATTTGATCGTGCAGCTGGAAAAGGACCTCTGATCGACACTCCTCTGGAAGGACGAGTTGGTAGGTGGGCTCACCGTTGACATTCCTTTTTCTGACTAGAATGTCGTTTTGAAGCTCCAGACGTGTCAACTCCCTCATGAGCAGTGGCAGATCTGGGAGTTGTTCCCTCAGAGAAGGTGGTGGACTATCTCCTCTTTCCAACTGGACAATGAGGTGCTGAATAATGGGATCTGCCCTCTGTTTAGCCGCAATCTCAGCATTAGAAAAGGAGACCATGACCTGTGAAGAGAACTGCAAATCGTTAACAAAACTGTCTGGCAGACTCTCAACACTAATGGCCAGAGCTTGGACATATGCTGCACTTTGTTGCTTGTCGGGCGTGCTGTACACAAGTTGCCGGTCACATATTGCCTGGACTGATTGCTCATCAATAGAGACACAGGATGGACTGTCTAGATGTTGTTCAGTGAACCTCAGGATCCTCTCTTGCTCCTTTTGGGACAGAGGGTCTTCTGGGAGTTGTCTATGAGGTCGCCGAGAGAGTCCGTCTGCGTCAGCATTCAGCCTTCCTGCTCTGTAGACAATCTTGAAGGTGAATGTAGAAAGCGCAGCAAGCCACCTGTAGCTTGTTGCGTCCAGTTTGGCTGTTGTTAGCAGGTATGTGAGCGGATTACTATCGGTAACAACAGTGAAAGTCGAACCGTATAGGTAGTTGCTCAGTTTTTCCGTCACTGCCCACTTCAGGGCCAAAAACTCCAGCTTATGAGCGGAGTATCGGGCTTCACTGCGCGATAGCCCTCTACTGGCAAACGCAACCACTCTGTTGCGTCCTTCATGCTCTTGGTACAACACTGCCCCAAGACCAGTAGAACAAGCATCTGTGTGCAAGATGTAAGGTTTGCTGGGGTCTGCAAACGCAAGGACTGGGGCTGTAGTGAGCTTTTGGATTATGGCTTCAAAAGCCTCTTGACAAGCGGACGTCCAGCGTCCCCCAAAGTTCTCTTTTGGGTCCAGAAAAGACTGGGTCTTAACTGCCTGTTTTGCCCTCGTTTGACTGGGAGGATAACCAGAAGTTAACTCATTGAGGGGTCTGACAATCGAGGAGTACCCCTCAACAAACCTCCGGTAATACCCTGCGAAGCCGAGGAATGACCGGAGTTCTTTAAGGTTTTGCGGGATTGGCCAAGATGTTAATGTGGCTATCTTGCTGGGATCCGTTTCTACACCATTACAAGAGACTACATGCCCAAGGTAACGCACAGATGTCTGAAAGAAGACACACTTTTCAACTGACAACTTTAATCCGTACTCCTTCAACCGTTGCAGAACCTTCTTGAGCCTTCGTTCATGCTCTTCGAGTGTCGGAGCAAAGACAATCAGGTCATCGATAAAGACAAGTGCTTCCTTCAAGTTCAAGTCCCCCATGCAACGCTCCATCAGCCTTTGAAAAGTGCTCGGTGCGTTTGTTATGCCTTGTGGCATGCGGTTGAATTCGTAAAACCCAAGTGGGCAGACGAACGCAGTCTTGGCCTTGTCTCTTTCTTCCATCTCTATTTGGTAATATCCGGACTTTAAGTCCAATACCGAAAACCATGTAGAGCCCGACAAAGCCGCAAAAGTGTCCTCTAGCTTGGGTAGAGCATAAGCGTCCTTGATGGTTTGTGCGTTCAGCTTCCTGTAATCGATGCAGAGCCTCACGGTGCCATTCTTCTTCCTCACAACAACTATTGGGGAAGCGAAAGGTGAGCTTGATTCACGAATGACGCCGGACTCTAGCAGTTCTTTGATATGCTTGCGAACAGCATCTACATCTTGAGGATGGATGGATCTGGGTCTTTGTTTTAGAGCAGCTGGATCAGACAAGTTGATCTCGTGTTTTACCTTGTCTGTCCGCCCAAAGTAGAGATCATGTTTTGCAAAGACCTCAGGTATGCTGTCGAGCATGGCAATTACACGAAGCTTCCACTCAGGTGATAGTGGTGAGTCACCAAAGTTGTATGGAAGCTGTGGAGGCTCTGCAGAATCGGAAAGCTGAGGTACACTTTGCTCTTTATTGAAAACTGAATGGATGGCACTTATTTCAGCAATGGGTGCTCTAGCAGGGAGTACAATGTCATGGTCTGACTCATTCGTGGCTACCACTGGCAACCGGGCAGGTTGGACAGGGGGTAAATCAACAAGGCAGGACTGCACAATCAGACCACCTGGCAGAGAGAACGAGGCTGGATGTTGGATAAGAACCTCTCTCTCGCCTTGCAGAAAAAGAGAAACTCCCATTGTGTCCAACACAAGGGTTTTCCCTGCTGAGATTGTCATGGGGACAGAGGACTGCAACCTTAATACCCCGTGGTGGTCATCAGTGGTCATATTGTGCCGTATCTCCAGTATTTTTAGTACTGCTTTGTATCCAAAGGGCACTGGATGGAAATGTGCAGTCATCTTACAGTGATTGTCATAGACTGTGTCCAACGTATTCGTTCCGACAAGAACAGGGGGTTGTGAAGATCGTAGGTCAGGAACGACCAGCGCAAGAGTGTCAACGTCCATCTCTATTCCGACAAACTCTTCAGGAAATGTCATTCCGATCTCCACATAACCAATGTAAGGCACACTCTGTCCATTGGCGCCCTCTACCTCCAGAAGATTGTTTAAGGGTTTTATTTCATGGTCTGTGAGGTAGGTATTGTAAAATGAATGAGAGACTGTTGTGACTTGGGAACCCGTGTCAAAGAGGCAGTTAAACTTTGTTCCTTTTATCGTGACCTCCCCAGTGCTTCTGGTTCCCACAAGACCTTTTGGTAACGAAGCCTGAGGAGAAGACTGCTTGGTGTGGGGACAATGGTTGTTGGCAGCTTCCACTCGTCCCTGCGAGGAAGCTGCATTCAGTTTGCGCCTCTCCCAACACTGCTGCTTGTCTTTGAGTTGTTTTCGTTTAGTTTCCACAAGAGCAGGATTTGGACCATACGTACAATTTGGAGAAATATGACCATCCTGGCCGCATTTGAAACAGAACCAGGGTTTGGGTTTGCTGCTCTGCCTTGGTTTCTGGGTATGATCTGTTGTTGCAGAGTTCTGTGACTTCTTTGACAGCAGAGCGGCCATCTGGCTTTGCAGTTTCTCCATTTGCTTCCTCAAATCCTCGATAGCGCTTGTGTCCAGGGAGTGACCACATGAACAGGCTGTAGTGCTATGAGTTTGGAGATTGGCAGCTCGATGCTTGACTGAAGGAAGGTGTTTCTTCATGAGAGTCTCTTTTGCGTACTGCCGATCTTCCTCTGTTCGAAGCATCAACAGCAAATCAGCAAAGGAGGGTGGTCGGTCTTTTTTTTGTTCCAGTTGCAACTTGTTGATAACAGCGTTGTCCCAGCAGCCTCTGCAAAATTGTTTAAGCAGGTGTTTGTCTTTATCAGCTGCTAGGACGCCACCTCTCTTTATTACAGCGCTTATGTTCAATTGAAGTCTTTGCAAATATGATGATGGTCTTTCTCCCGGGTCTTGGAAAGTGTTGAGGAACTTTGCGAACAACTCCTCTCCATCCTCGACTGTGGCGTATGCCGAATCCAGAACGTGCAAGAACGCGGCAGGGAGGGAATTTGGTTCCAAATGTCTGATTAGATCTGCCGCAGGGGAAAGCAGACTCTCTATTCTGCGTCTCGTAATGTGTAAAGGAGCGAGACTTGGATCAGCACTTAAAAGGTCTATTTGCGTTTTCCAAGACTCATAGTCTGCCTCATGAGGGGGCTTTGAGACTTTCCCTGAGAAGGTGCGCAGTCGTAATGGGGATAGCGACTGGGGGTTTGACTCATCCCTGCGTACAATGTGTTCCACTACAACTCTTTGCACGTCAGGGGGGTTCAAGTCATGGCCAGACAATGAGATCCTTGGGTTCATAGTTGGGTTACGACGACCCCTGACCGTATATAGCAAGCCTGCACTCTCACCATCTCCGGTCCCGACTCCTTCCTCCTCATCATCATCGTCATCCTCCTCATCGTCATCTTCCTCCTCCTCCTCTTCGTCTTCGTTCTCTCCGCCAGCGGCTCCGAGATGAGAGCTAATCTGGTCCAAAGCTCCTTTTAAAACAAGCTCGAATGGTCGGCCGCTCTCCCGGGAAAGGCGTCTCAGAACCTGAAGGTAGTCCACGGATTGGGACTGGGGCTCTGGGTTTTCCGTTGTGGCTGCAGCACCCGCATCTGAAATCTGTCTGACAGTGACTTCTATGGTTGCAGCACGCGTAGTATAAGGCAATAACGGTTTTAGTTTGTCTACGCTTACACTGTCAACAAACTCGACGGCCAGGTTTTTGTAGAAGGGACTCTGCCTGTCAGCTACAGTAACGTACCTTTTGATGTCACCGTACCCTTTCAGAGTATCAACAATGTCTTCCTCTGCTTGAGTATTTGTTACACCACTGACAGCAACTGTATGAGCAACATTCATACCAATTTTTTCAAAGTAATCCATTTCTCAACTCAAAAAAAAAATCCAAGGGAATACACACACACAATCTAACAGCTGTACAACTATTACATACACTATCAGGCTCCTGGCTAGCTCGCCATTTGTAACGATAGCTAGTGGCTACGCAAGATCTGACTTTGGCTATTAACGGAATAGCAGTGTAGTGAGCAGAAGAGGGTGGTTCGGCAAGGAGCCTGAGGTGCACATAAAGACAACCGATATCTACGTGATAAAGAATTGTATTATAATAGTCCAACAGATGAAATATTATTGCACACAAAAAAAACAATACACCAGATTGCAGGTGTATGGAAAAAAACAGGTTCCACCACAAAGTCTGTAGGTAAAAGTCCAACAAAAAAAATGCTTGCTAACTTGCAAGGCTATTTAAGTTCCGCTCGAGGAGGATGAAAAGAAAAGTAATCCACAAAAAGCGTGTAGGAAGCAATAGACAGTTTGTCCTACCGCGTCGTTGTCTAGCTCGCCATTTGTTGAGTCGTGGTGTAGAAAGGCTCAGTTCATTGGGTTAGTCCATCCCATTACAAAAACCTGACCTGAGGCCAAAAACATAAATAAGTAACATTGCATTAAGGCTATACAAGGATTGGTATAACATCTTTTGTTATACAGGTTATTCTATTTCTAATACTAATACACATAGTATTAATAGTATACATAATAATCATGATTTCTCAGAAAAATTAAATGTATGAACACTAGTTCATCAGATCTACCGAAAATAACTGTCATTAAACAAGGTTGTAGAAGTGCACTAAAATATCTTTCACTAATCATCAATAATGTCATTAGAAATATGAATGATCAGTAATCCTGGTTTTACGTCATAATACTCAAGCAGAGTTGATAAATAAAAGTGTTGCGCAACAAACAATAAACACACAGACGCGTCTCATTGGAGCGCACAGTAACTCCATTCATAATATGCTGACTGCCTTTAAGAGCCTGCAAAAGTAAGACAGCATATTGGGAACACAGATCCAGTTAAACATGTCCTAAACTAAAGAGTTGCCTAACAATACGGCTTATTGATAAAAAGGAAAAGAGCGGGTTTACCTGAGTAACTTGGGGCAAACACGACACACCATGCATGGCCCGCTACTTAAAAGAACATGGCGGCTCTATGGGAGAATGGCATCACATTAGCGACTATGCTAAAACACCTCAAAAACAGTACTTAGCGATCTCTTATAAACAAATGCATTTAGGATTAGGCTTCTTCGGCCATGGCAAAAGACTCACCTAATTATGAAGTGTCAATAATGCGCGATTGGAGAGTTTCAGCAAGTCTACTCTCATATGCCGTCTGTCAATGCTGCAGCCACAACGGAGACGGGAGGGGGGGAGGAGATGCGCGCAGCTGATAGTTAAAGAGACGGGCGCTTTTGGGGGAAGTTGGCTTACAAAATAAAAGTTTTTAAGACACTAAAGCCGTTTCAGTTAAGCATGTTAATCATGGTAATGAAATGCGGGTTACACCTGACCTGAGTGGTTTTCCCTTCAAAATAGCATCGAGTTGTTTCTTGCATCTGGGAATTAACATTACACGCAAACCAGGGGACCTTTTCAAAGCAAACTTTTCTCCCTTACTTTTGAAAATTAAAGAAGACTTTGAACGCTGGTCTCTACTTAAACTATCTTTGGTAGCTCGCATTAATTGTGTGAAAATGAATATTTTGCCTAGAGTTTTATACCTATTTCAGTGCATCCCCCTTTTCCTGCCATGCTCTTTCTTCTCTCAATTGGATACAATTGTCTCAGACTTTCTATGGGATAAGAAAATCTCTCGGCTCTCAAAGCAATATTTACAGAGACCGAAACCATTGGGAGGGATGGCGTTGCCAAACTTTAGGCATTATTACTGGGCCTGTAATATAAGGACCGTAAAATACTGGCTTCGTCTGGGGGATGTCTCCCCTTTAGCCTGGCTCACCATAGAAAAAAACTCTGTAAAACCAGTGTCTCTTTCAGCTCTGTTATATTCACCTTTACAAAGTGAAATCAAAAAATATACTAAAAACCATGTTGTAAGAATTTCTCTTAAAATTTGGACCCAATTTAGACGTCACTTTGGCTTGCAGATTTACTCCCATAATGCCCCTTTAGCCGGTAACCATTTCTTTTCACCCTCTCTTGTCGACAAAGCTTTTTTAAACTGGTCACTTTTAGGCTTACACACTTTTAAAGATTTATTTATTGATCGTGTTTTGGCAAGTTTCCAGCAACTGTCGGAGAAACATTCTCTCCCAAAGGAACATTTTTTCAGATACCTACAAGTTCGCAGTTTTGTTAATAGTAACTTCGCCTCGTTTCCAAATTTACCTGAAGACTCCACTATTGATATCTTTCTCAGGCCTCCTTCTTCGCTAAAAGGCTCCATTTCATTAGTTTATAATCAGATTGCAGCTATTCGTTCCAATTCTCTTTCATCAATAAAAGCTCTCTGGGAGGAGGATCTTGGTGAGGCATTATCTGCGGAGCTATGGTCAGAAATTCTAGCGCGTGTACACAAGTCCTCAATATGTGCTAGGCATAGCCTTATACAATGCAAACTTGTTCACCGTGTTTACTATACGAAGTACCGTTTGTCCAAAATATATCAAAACGTGTCCCCAACTTGCGATCGATGTCAGCAGGCTCCAGGCAACCTTATTCACACACTCTGGCTCTGTCCACGACTTCATGATTACTGGACAGAAGTCTTCTCTCATATTTCAACTGTTGTGGGCAATCAGGTAAACCCTAATCCTTTGAGCGCTCTTTTTGGTGTATTCGTGGGACCACCCTCTCTGTCCAAATCAAATAGAGACTCTCTTGCGTTTATGACTCTGCTGGCAAGAAGGGTGATACTACTGAAGTGGAAGTCCTCACAGCCTCCGTCTTGGACACAGTGGCTTAGGGACGTTTTATTCTTCATCAAGCTGGAGAAAATCCGTATGACACTGAGTGGGTCTGTCGATAGATTTGAACTGACGTGGCAACCACTGTTCCAGTTGGTACAACACTTAGACTTCCCTTCTGTCCCAGATTAATTCCTGGATTTTTTATAATAGGTTTTAATAAAAAAAATGTGATTTAATCCTTTACCTTCCCGGAGGTCCCTCTTTCAGTTCTGTTATTTCATCTTTAATTTTCATGGCACTCTAATGGCGATTGATGGCTTTTTATTTTATTTTATTTTTGTTTTCTTTTGGTTCATATTTCTCTTGTTTTATTATTACAGAAGAAATGTACAAATAATTATCCTTTTTACTGTTGTTATGGTATGTAAATGTTGTACATTATCTTGGAAAAAACAATAAACAAATTTTGAAAAAAAAAAAAAAAAAAGAAGCGCAGGTGCGAGAGACGCGAGGAGAGAGAGACGCGAGGAGAGAGGAGCAGAGAGAGACAGAGAGGAGCAGAGAGACGGAGACGCGAGGAGCAGAGAGAGACGGAGACGCGAGGAGCAGAGAGAGACAGAGACGCGAGGAGAGAGAGACGCGAGGAGAGAGGAGCAGAGAGAGACAGAGAGGAGCAGAGAGAGACGGAGACGCGAGGAGCAGAGAGAGACGGAGACGCGAGGAGAGAGAGACGCGAGGAGAGAGGAGCAGAGAGAGACAGAGAGGAGCAGAGAGACGGAGACGCGAGGAGCAGAGAGAGACGGAGACGCGAGGAGCAGAGAGAGACAGAGACGCGAGGAGAGAGAGACGCGAGGAGAGAGGAGCAGAGAGAGACAGAGAGGAGCAGAGAGAGACGGAGACGCGAGGAGCAGAGAGAGACGGAGACGCGAGGAGAGAGAGACGCGAGGAGAGAGGAGCAGAGAGAGACAGAGAGGAGCAGAGAGACGGAGACGCGAGGAGCAGAGAGAGACGGAGACGCGAGGAGAGAGAGACGCGAGGAGAGAGAGACGCGAGGAACATAAACAATAATTTAAACAAGTTGCAGAACTCTTGAGCAGTGTTTGAATCAGTGTTTTTCGGAAAAGCACTACTTTGCCGGTATCTGTCAATGTTCAACATAAAACACAGATTAACAAACTCCTCCCCCGCAGCCGGACTAACCTCGTAAGTCCAGTGGTGGTCTCCCAGTCTATATTAATTCTTTCTTTGTTTGAAAGTCCAATTGAGAAAAAAAATCTTCATTCAAATCATCCATTTTCCAGCAAAAGAAATAGCATTTTGGGCTGATTGTTTGTTAGCAACTCTGGTATGAACTTTATGCTCACTATCACCCCTAGCGGTGAGGCACAGATACCGCCTGCCTCACGCCAAGCTTTTTCCTTGTGTGTTCATCTACGATCAAAAGACTTAAACTAAATATAAATTGTACACACATACGTGCAATACACTACTAAACACTAAGAGGAGTTTAAAAAATGTTTTTAAAGCAGGATATTTGAAACAAACGGTGATATATCAACTGCACGAGCTGAGTGCACTCAGACACACACACACACACTGTGAGGGAGCGGTCTGGGGTGAGGCACGCAGGAGCGCTGCCTCACCTCGTCTCTTTGAATAGGAATAACGGGATTTCGGCGATTTTGACTTCAGAAATGATCAAAACTGATGGGAACCGTGCCGAATATACATTAAAAGCATAGGACAGTGGATATAAATTATATATTTAAACTAAAATAATTATTAGTTTCCAATAATGGCAGGTGAGGCTCTGCCTCCCCTGCCTCCCCTGACTGCACGTCCCTGTTTAGTTTCTATATTTATCGATGCAGGTGGTGCGGGAGGTTTTGGTTCGGGTGCACTGCCTTAAATGTCCAGCTGGGGGCGCACCTAGGAGTGGAATTAGCCCCGGTTACTATAACAGGGAAAGAGTTTTGTACTGCACTACTGCATTTGGATTATATATGTCTTATTTATTATTGGTAAATAATAAGTAAGACAAAGAGAGAGAGAGAGAGACAGACACAGAGAGACAGAGACACAGAGAGAGAGTGAGACAGAAAGAGAGAGAGAAACAGAGAGAGAGAGAGACAGAGAGACAGAGACGCAGAGAGAGAGACACAGAGAGAGAGACACAGAGAGAGAGAGGGACACAGAGAGAGAGAGAGAGAGAGCGAGAGCGACAGAGAGAGAGAGAGCGACAGTTTCTATTCCCTAATAATAACCAGTCAAATCCTACTTAGTCATTTATAATATTTCAGGTTTAATTTCTAATAAAACTTTTCTTAACTGCTGCAACTCTCTGCAGATGGCCAACATAGGACCTGCACCACACGTTGAGAAACACGCAGGAGCATCACAGTAAATCTACAGCACAGTAGTCAACAATGGCTCAATGAGAGATGTCATTTTCAGGGGGGTGAATTCTGGCACTCGTTTAATGGACTTCGTTATCGGGAATCGCAATTAATTAAAAAGTGTCAGCGTTTTATATAAGTTCTTCCTCGTTGCTGAAGCCGTTCTGGGCCGAAGCCTAAAGCCAATTTAATCAACAACAACAGCACATTTAAGATCAAATTAATGAGTTTTTTAATCCTCCTTCACAAGAGTTTTATCCCACGTCTGATTTACATTTAGTTATAATGAGATAATTACTGTTTCTGTTCAGCACAGACACAGAGTATGTGTTTACTGCAGAGGTATGGAGAGACAGAGACAGAGAGAGAGAGAGAGAGAGAGACAGAGAGAGAGAGAGAGAGAGAGACAGAGAGAGAGAGAGAGACATAGAGAGCGACAGAGAGAGAGAGAGAGAGAGAGAGACATAGAGAGAGAGAGAGACAGAGAGAGAGAGCGACAGAGAGAGAGAGAGAGAGAGAGAGAGAGACATAGAGAGAGAGAGAGACAGAGAGAGAGAGAGACAGAGAGAGAGAGAGAGAGAGAGACATAGAGAGAGAGAGAGAGAGAGAGCGACAGAGAGAGAGAGAGAGAGAGAGACAGAGAGAGAGAGAGAGAGAGAGACATAGAGAGAGAGAGAGAGAGACAGAGAGAGAGAGAGTTGGTGTGTTACCTGGAGCAGGAGGTGTGTGTGTGTGTGTGTGTGTGTGTGTGTGTGTGTGTGTGGTTGTGTTACCTGGAGCAGGAGGTGTGTGTAGATACACCTCCTCGCTGTAGTGTGTGTGTGTGTGTGTGTGTGTGGTTGTGTTACCTGGAGCAGGAGGTGTGTGTAGATACACCTCCTCGCTGTAGTGTGTGTGTGTGTGTGTGTGTGTGGTTGTGTTACCTGGAGCAGGAGGTGTGTGTAGATACACCTCCTCGCTGTAGTGTGTGTGTGTGTGTGTGGTTGTGTTACCTGGAGCAGGAGGTGTGTGTAGATACACCTCCTCGCTGTAGTCCCCGTACCCCGCCTTGTTGCAGCCGCGGACCCTGAGGACGTAGACACTGTCCATCTCCAGTCGGTCGATGACGGCGCTGCTCCCGGTGACCTCGTCCATCCTCTGCCACCCCCACCGCGCCGCAGACAGACCCCCCCTCATGCCCCCCCCGCGCCCCCCCTCCCGGGACCACCCCGCGGCGCCGATACTCCACAGAGTAGTGCCACGCCGGGGCCGACTCCGGGGGCAGGCGCCAGCACAGGTACAGCTGGTCGTAGGCCAGGGACCGCTGCGTGTCCAGGACCGGGGCCTGTGGAGCTGAAGCAGAGTTCAGTTTATGTAGCACATGTTTACAGAGATATCGTGATGACGGACACGGTGATGACAACAACGCCTCAGACGTCACGTTTTAGTTTCACATTGTTCTAATCCAGAAGTAAATAAGTCTAATTTTCACCTGTTTTTGGGAGTTTGGCTCAGGACGCAGCAGTCCTATATCTCATATAAGTATAAATAGTAATTTATGCAGCACATTTTTACAGAGATATTATGATGACAGAAGCGAGACTCTCTAGCATTAAAAGCCCCCAACACCATTCACTCACTGGAGGAAACCTACACAGACACGGGGAGAATATGCAAATTCTGGGATTCACACACAGGACCTTCGTGCTGAGATGCAAGAGTGCTAACCACCACACCGTGTCACTGTGTCACTGTGGGAGGTAAAACAAAGATTTTCCCATGAGATCCCATGTCATATACTCTTGACAGCTGGAACAAGTTTCAGCCCCTCTGTCTGTCGACCCTGTCTATCGAAGATTCGGAGGACGTATAATATATCTTTGGCATTTTGGTGGTGGGGATCCTCCTGTTTGGGTTTGGAGCGGTTCTCTTCTACCGCAAATTCGGAGGCATGGCAGTTCGCAAGATTCACGACCTGCTGGCCGACAAAATTGATGGGATGTACAAGGAGTTAAGCCATGTCGTGGTTGAGAGTGCCGTGTCTGGACAAAGGAGAGTGGTGTTAGTGGAACAGTTGATAAAAGATCTCGCAGCTCGTTCACTCGATGGGCATAAAACTCTGGAATTGAGATTGAATGACATCGTTTGCCAGGCTTGAACTCTCTGACCCGGCTTGGATTTGCCCCTGTGTACGGAGGTCTGAGGGCGCCGCAATTCGGTTTAATTGGATTTAATAGAATATCTGCCTGCTTTTGACCGCTACATTGCATACAATATTGTCCCCCTCAGGCGAAGTGTTTTTCTCCTGCTGTGTCTTCTCTCCACTCTTATCTCACATTCCTCGTCCAAGGCCATAAAACAAGGTCCCCCAATCTACAACAACTCACACTATTCAGTCTCCAGCTTGGATCCCGTTCCCGCCGCCTCCCCCTACCTATCCATCTTGCTCCCTCCCTCCCCTCCACTCCTCATTGTGTTTCCGACTCACCCCCTCCCTGACCCCGCCCCCCTCTGACAGCCACATTGGGCCGGCAGTCGGAGGTGCTCATCCCGAGAAAAAAATCCGTGGTTTATACAAAGCACAATGTGTCTATCCAATTGTCTGTGTAATCTGTATGTTATTGCTCTCTGCTGTTTCTTGCTGCACACAGCGCCGCAAATGGCGAAGTGGCACGCTCTCTGACAAAACCATTTCCAAGTGGTAACTTTGTTACTCACGTGGCAATAAAAATGATTCTGATTCTGATGACCAGTCACATGACCAGTCTCCCTGCACCTTCGTTGAGTTCTGTTGTTTTCTGTTTTAATAATGCTAATGGTTTTTTAATTGCTCTGTTTTTAACCTTGTACAGTGTCCTTGGGTGTTTTGAACAGCGCTCTTAAATCAAATGTATAATTATTGATTGACTGCGGAACCTTCCGCAGTCAACCATTGGTTTTGTATTTCTTTATTCCGTCATTTTTTTTGACACGTTTCACAGCTTTCACATTTTCAACAATTTCCACAAGTTATACATCAAAACGTTCCACATGTTTGGGAGATTATTGCTATTACTTTTGGGACTTCAGCGATTTCCGGTTTTTCCGCAATCGGACAAAAATCTGCATTGAGAATTCTGCAATGCATTTTAATAGGCCCATGCATTTTAATAGGACTTCAGCTCTTTCAGACATTTCTACAGTTTCAATGATTCAACAGTTTCAAGGATTCAACAGTTTCAAGGATTTCAGCAGTTTCAAGATTTCAAGAGTTTCAAGGACTTCAACAGTTTCAAGGACTTCAGCAGTTTCAAGGACTTCAGCAGTTTCAAGGACTTCAGCAGTTTCAAGGACTTCAGTGTAATCATGCAACCTAATAGGGATTTTTCCATGTAAACCAGTATAATGCAACTTAATAGGGATTTTTCCATGTAAACCAGTATAATGCAACTTAATAGGGTTTTTTCATGTAAACCAGTATAATGCAACTTAATAGGGTTTTTTTTCATGTAAACCAGTATAATGCAACTTAATGGGGATTTTTCCATGTAAACCAGTATAATGCAACTTAATAGGGGTTTTTACATGTAAACCAGTATAATGCAACTTAATAGGGATTTTTTCCATGTAAACCAGTATAATGCAACTTAATAGGGATTTTTCCATGTAAACCAGTATAATGCAACTTAATAGGGATTTTTCCATGTAAACCAGTATAATGCAACTTAATAGGGATTTTTCCATGTAAACCAGTATAATGCAACTTAATAGGGATTTTTCCATGTAAACCAGTATAATGCAACTTAATAGGGGTTTTTACATGTAAACCAGTATAATGCAACTTAATAGGGATTTTTCCATGTAAACCAGTATAATGCAACTTAATGGGGATTTTTCCATGTAAACCAGTATAATGCAACTTAATAGGGTTTTTTTTTCATGTAAACCAGTATAATGCAACTTAATGGGGATTTTTCCATGTAAACCAGTATAATGCAACTTAATAGGGTTTTTTTCATGTAAACCAGTATAATGCAACTTAATGGGGATTTTTCCATGTAAACCAGTATTATGCAACTTAATAGGGATTTTTCCATGTAAACCAGTATAATGCAACTTAATAGGGTTTTTTTCATGTAAACCAGTATAATGCAACTTAATAGGGTTTTTTTCATGTAAACCAGTATAATGCAACTTAATGGGGATTTTTCCATGTAAACCAGTATAATGCAACTTAATAGGGTTTTTTTTTACATATAAACCAGTATAATGGAACTTAATAGGGGTTTCAAGGATTTCAGGAGTTTCAATGTTTCAACAGTTTCAAGGATTTCAGGAGTTTAAAGGTTTCAACAATTTCAAGGACTTCAGGAGTTTCAAATATCTATCAAGTATTTTAACAGTTTCAAGGCCTTTTAAAGGATTTCAAGGATTTTTTTTAGCAGATTTCCACATTAGATCTGTTCCGCAGTCAATCGCAATGGCTTCAGCCATTGCAAGTTTCTAGTTATTATTATTACTATTATTATTATTATTATTATTACTATTATTATCATTATTATTATTATTATTATTATTATCATTGTCCTCCAGTAGAACCAGTCCCTCCCTGGTGTGTCCGTCTTTGATGGTACCTTGGATGAAGTTGAGCTCCGTGAGCAGTTTGAGTTCTTTGGAGACGTCGAGCTGAAAGTGTCGGAACGAAGGATCCGCCGCCAGCGAGAAATGTTGCAGGTTCTCGATGGCTTTACTGAGTCTGAGGGAGTTTGTTTTTACACAGAGACAAAACATTAACTATCCACCTGTAAACACGGCTGTGACCAGCACTACAGAAGCAAGAATTACATTATATATATATATATATAAACCTGCAGAACACACTGTCACATGTCCGGGTGAAAAGGGGTTGGATGAAGCAGATGAAAATAAGAAGTACATGAGGTTCTAGGTTTTTGCACCGGCCAAAACTAGATAATTCTATACACCGCAAAAAGTGATGACTGCCTTTTTAATATTTAATACATTTACAAATAATTTAACAATAAAATCTTGCAAAAAATGAATTAAAAAAACACAACATTTCCATGGTCACATGACCATTGGAGTTTAATGCCCCTCCCACCCCCAGACTGGAATAAATGTATTCCAATGTGGTTTTACTGCAAATGGCAAATAATCAGAATCGGTTCTCATCACTGTCAGCACGCAGCAGAGTTAGCTTTGCTTCTAACTCAGGCTGTCCCTGGCCCCGCCCACAAACCTGTTGTGAGTCTGGCGCGCCGCCTGCACAAAGCAGGGCTGGTCCGTCTCCTTCAGCAGCTCCTGGGTGAAGGCCATGAGCCCCGCGTGCTCCATCAGGCTCCTGCGCTCGGACACCTGCCCCGACAGAGCCTCCCCCCTCCTCTGCCGGGCCCCCTCCAGGGCCTGGGTCAGCGACGAGTGACGCTCCGCCAGCGCCGCCGTCAGGTCTCGGATGCTCTGAGCCAGCTGCTCCCGAGCCGACACGCTGTTCACCTGAAGAAAGAGAGAAAGAGAGAGAAAGAGAGAGAAAGAGAGAGAAAGAGAGAGAGAGAGAGAGAGAGATGCAGAAAGTTTATTATCATACTCATAATCATATGCACAGAGTTTATTACTGGACTTTTAATCATAATCATCGGTTTTATATAACACTTTTTTTTTAAAGAAGTTCTGTTTGTTACAAGTCTCTCCACGGCCTCAAACCAAACTACATGTTAGTGCCATATGAACCAACTCTATGGAGCACAGGGACTGGCCTCCTGCTGGGACTCTGAGGAGCACAGGGACTGGCCTCCTGCTGGGACTCTGAGGGGCACAGGGACTGGACTCCTGCTGGAACTCTGATGGGCACAGGGACTGGCCTCCTGCTGGGACTCTGAGGAGCACAGGGACTGGCCTCCTGCTGGGACTCTGAGGAGCACAGGGACTGGCCTCCTGCTGGGACTCTGAGGAGCACAGGGACTGGCCTCCTGCTGGGACTCTGAGGAGCACAGGGACTGGCCTCCTGCTGGTCCCTGAGTCAGGACTAAACATGTGGAGGCTGCATTTCAGATTCATGCTGCTAAAATCTGGAACAGTCTTCAAGGAAAATGTGAGACTGTCTTCTTCTCTGACTATGTTCAAATCCAGGTTTTAAATCAGTTCAGTTTGACCCGCTCCCATCTCTGTTGGACTGAGAGACTACAGTAATGGCCACAACTGTAAACCGCTTTGACTCTGGTCTGAGAAAAGCGCTGTATTAACGGCTTATTAATGGCTTATTAACGGCTTATTAACGGCTTATTAACCGAGGGCGAGGTCTGTATGGCGAAATATCAGACCGAGCCTTAATGTACAGACCGAGCCGTGGCGAGTCTGTACATTAAGCTCTGATATTTCTCTGCAAAAACCGAGCAAGCGAGGTTAATAAATGTTTTATTATGACTCTCGTATGCTTTTGAGATATTTGTGAAGTATGTTCATGTCCGACTTGGTTTTGTGTGATACGAGCTGTGGACCGATTGTCATGGTAACGGTCCGAGATGGGAAAATATCAGACCGGTAATCAGCCAATCAGAGCGCGCGTAAGGCCCAAGTCATATAATAAGAATAAATATTACTTACTTTAAAGACTGTCTTCACTCTGTACTGTGATAATGCATGATTTTTTGTGTGTGATTGTTTCTATCTTGTTTTTTTAATCACATTTAGTTCCCTTTTCTGTAAACGTGCTATAGAAATAAAATTGCCTAAAAACAATGAGACAATAACTTTAACTTTGTATTTAACTGTTTATAAAATGTTCTTTTTACGACGTTGAGCGGCAAGAAAAGCACCTAAGAAAATAAATGTATTATTATTATGATTATCATCATTATGAATAAATCCCCAGAGTTGAGATATCCATTTGTAGTCAGTGGTATTAGAATGTTCTGCGGCGTGTGAAAAGCGTAACGGACGTCTCACCTCCGTCTGCGTGATGGCGCTCTCCAGCTGCGTGATCTGAGACAGTACGGTGTCCTGGTTGGACAAAATGTAGTTCATCTCTTTTGTAATCTTCTCCTGTTGAATGGAGTCAGAGTTAGACACAGAAAGTCGTTCAAAGCTTTAAACACTGAGATGGAAAACGGTGCTGTGTCGCCCTCTAGAGGCGCAGTTGGGGAAGACGGAATATTCGCTTTCTCAAAAAGCTAATGTTCACGTTCATTCTTTATATAATACTGCAAAAATATACAATTACTTTAAAAAATATAAAGAATGTGTGCTTGTCTCACAGTTTGGCAGTGCTGTCTCTGTCTATATTGTGAAAAGAATTAGAACCTTTGCCTTTGACAACCCACTTCAAACAGAAAACAATTATTATTATATTCGTATAATGGGAAAAGGTTGATACTAAGATGAAGGTGTATTTTATTAATCCCCTCTGCATTTGACCCATCCTGATGCCCTGAGGCTTACGTCAGGAGCAGTGGAGCCCGGGAACCCATCTCCAGATGTTGATGCTCGGCTTGGTCAGGACCAGAGCTGGAGGATTTAACCTGGTGTGCATGTTTTTAGTGGTAGGGGAAACCGAAGTACCCGGAGGAAACGCAGGCACAGGAAGAACATGCAAACTCCACTCAGAAAGACCCAGGACCTTCTTGCTGAGAGGCGAGAGTGCTAACCACTCAGCCACCGCGCCGCTGTCCTTGTGTGTATACTTTATTATATGCTGTGTTGTTTTATTAGGCTAAGGACAGATTTTCTTGAGTATAGTGTTGTACTGTAATTAATATTCACTTGTTTTGTGTTGTGTTCTCCTCATTCCTACTGCTCTGTCGTGTTGCAACCCTGAAATGTCCGCACTGTGACCAATAGCAGCATAAACAGCGGCACCTTGAGCGCCTGATAGGCCTGAGCCACCGGGAGGATTTTGTGTCCTCCGTGAACTCGCCGCAGTTTACAGAGTGGACACAGGAGGCGCTGACACGTGCGACAGTAGAACTGCAGCTTCTCCTGGTCGTGCTCCGTACACGTCAGCACCTGCGGAAAACACACCAGAACAACACTTAGCCATCACTAATTAACAGATAATCAAGCACTAATTAGTAAACCCAAAGCCTAACCCACATGTGTCTGTTAGTAGTTAGATGTCGTATAAGGTCATGAAGAATAAGGACTAATATATGCTTAATAAATACCAATTAAGAGCAAATTAAGCACAAATTATGAACAAATTTACAGTTAATTATGTGTTAATTAGTGAGGAATAAACTAATGTGAGGCCGATAAAACATGATTGATCTCACATGGGAGTAATCTACATGTTACAGATGGCTTCAGTGTGAGCAAATAAACAGGAAATGTGTAAACAGTGAAAAAGTCAAAAAGATATTATTAGTATTTATGATCTTGAGACGGCGAGGGGAGCGTGACCTTGGGCCTGAAGTTGAGCGTGGGCAGGATGTGCTCGTGCTGGGCCCGGGGCGTCCCCCAGGGGTGGTACAGCTTGAAACACTCGTTGCAGAAGTTGGCTTTGCAGTCGCCGCAGCCTTTTGAGGCCTCGAGCGCGTGCGGCGGTTTACAGAACTGACACATGACCGCCACGCTGCCCAGACTCACGGTGTGGCGGTATCTGCAACACACACACACACACACACACACACACACACACACACACACACACACACACACACACACACACACACACACACACACACACACACATTTACATTTACAAACCACACAAAAATTGACTTATTCTACTTCCTGGCCTGGTCTAACCACACCATTGTACTCATTTTATTTCATACTAAGGTCTGGATTGTCTCCATTGACTCCGTTAACAGGTGGGAGGGGCTAACTCCTTTTGCAGATTGAAACCATTGGATCTGAGTTTACTGTGACGTTTGTATTGAGCCCGAGTGAGTCGTTAGCATTTAGCATTTAGCCTAGTTTTAGCATTTAGCCTAGCTTTAGCATTTAGCCTAGCTTTAGCCATCTCCTTTGCCACTAACGGAGCCCGTGGGGAGTAGCGCCACAACATCTTGGCAGCATTAACATTTACAAGACTTTTTCTGTTGTTATTTATGAAAAAAGTGAGGTAGCCCAGCTTTATGGTTGGGATGGGTTTTTGCATCCATAAGACTTTGTCAATTGTGAAGAAATATATGCAAGAATATAGTAAATAATAATTATGAAGAGCTTTGTGTGAGTGTGGGAAACATTTATGGCAGATTTTGTGTATTATGAGTCCATTTTTGTCTCAAGATGCAGGAAATGTGAGTATTTTTTGTTCAGACGTGACAGAAAGTAAGAGATGGACACAGAGCAATGACGTAAACAGACTTTAAAAGACACATTCAGCCGCAGTAACGACTCTGTAACCAGCTTTACTCTGGTTTTTCACAGCACAGCGAGCCCTGAGTCATCACCAACGCTTCTCCAGCAAACACACCGACACAGAACTCAGATGGCTTCACACTACACTGGAAAAAATATATGAAAATAAGTAAAATTCTGCTTAAAATAATAAAACAAATCATCTGACAATCGAACAAGAAATTATGACTAAAGGTATCTGAAAATAAGAAAATAATTCTAGCCCCAAATAACTTGATTCTAGTTTAAAAACTTATTTTATCTAAACAAGAAAAAATATCTGGAAATAGACTTAAAACAAGCAAAAAAACTCACTGCTCAGACTTTTTTCTCTTATAAGATTATTATCGTAAAATAATCTTATGACAAACTACATCCAAGCAACAAAAACTGGCATAATTTCTGTTTTTTTTAGTACATAAATCTAACCAATAATAGATTTATGTACTGTAGGTTTTTTTATGATTTGAATATGTCCTTTTTATTTAATGTTTTTATTTTATTTTGTTTGTTAGTTGCCTTCATTGGGTATTGACTCCAGGTTCATTTAAATAAGCAACACACCGGTATCAGGTTAAAGTGGTTCTCACCCCCGCTCCTCGGAGCTTACGTCACTCACATTTCCTGTTCAAATCTTCCTCTAAATGGGCGTAGCCTGGAGGACTAAAGGGGGCGTGAACGAGACTGGGCCGTTTACATTGCTCTGGGCGGGGGGCTGCTGACGTCAGGTCCAACTTGCAGAAGTCAGGTCCAACTTCTGTGCCAGTGTTGGCGCCAGATTCAAAATTCAAATGTAGTAATACAGGTCGCCAGCAGATGGCGCCTCACAGACGGTTTTAGGCAGAAAGTCTAACTTTCAACTAATTTGCACCAAAGTGACAAGATTATGACCAGGATATGTAGACAACACTATTGGACACTCATTTATACCGTTTATCAGCAAAAAAAAGTGGATTTGAGGGTGAGTTGTCCTTTAAGATTGGGAGGGGTCTGGGGGCCATGTCTGAATGTGAATCGGGCCAGATGTGGTCCCCGGGCCATACTTTTCCCAGGTCTGTTCTAAACCATAGCTAACACTGTTATAAAGTCCTTCTGGTGCTGTATGAGATCAGTGTGAGCCCACCTCTCCACGATCCTCTCCAGGGTGAGGTTTCGGAGACACTCGGTCAGACCCCGCTCCCCCAGCTCCACGTCCCGACGACAGGCTCCACAGGGGAACATCATGATGAGGGGGGGGGCGTCTTTACGTCTGCGGCCGCCGTACGGAGACCTCTGCAGGGACGGGGAGGGCGGGTGAGGGCCTGGACACACCACAGCATCAGGGACGGTCCACACACACTGCTTCTTTCAGGCTTTTAATGATGTTACTAATCATGATGTGAGTTACTGCTCTCGTGGATCAATGTCTAAGTCTGAGTTTTATCTGTGAACTACAAAGGTTTTGTTCTGTCCAAGTTTAGAAGTTTAAAGTACATTGTTGTTATTTTCATTCAGAGATGAATCAACTTTAGGATTGCCAAATATATCGGAAATCAAATATTCGTCTATGTTTATATAAATGTACTATACTGAAACTAGAGAAACTTAATAAATCAAGAATCAATATTCAATCATAAAAATGGAACAGAACAAGCTTGCTTCTAAGTGAATTGAAATGTGGATAGCCACGCTTCTAAGTCCATGTTCCTATGTCTTACTTTTCATTTTCTCTGCCTTAGTTAACAACAGAGTACAACAGTGTCATGTTGTTTAGGTCATTCAAATGCAAAGCTTTCTATACATTTACTTAAGCACCTAATTAACATTAGCCTGGTCTTACCACACCACTGTACTCATTTCATTTCATACTAAGGTCTGGATTGTCTCCATTGACTCCGTTAACAGGTGGGAGGGGCTAACTCCTTTTACAGATTGAAACGATTGGATCTGAGTTTACTGTGACGTATGTAATGAGCCCGAGTGAGTGAGGCATTTAGCATTTAGCCTAGCTTTAGCATTTAGCCTAGCTTTAGCCGTCTCCTTTGCTGCTAACGGAGCCTGTGGGGAGTAGAGCCACAACATATTTGCTTCAATGACATTCACTAAACATTCCTCTTGCTCCGGCTTCAGTTTCTTGATATTTGGATTGAACCAGAACAGATTATTTTACTATCGCATTCTCCGACAAACTACAACCAGCAAATTCAGCACAAACTCTTGACGTCACCGACACCGACCTACAACACCCGCCTCCCCCGCTCTCTGATTGGTCGGAGGGGATTCAACGGAGGAAACTGCAGCCACTAGGATCAGACCCAGACGTACATGTAGGAAATGACCATGGACCAGAGTTTACACATGGTAAGACCAGACGTACATGTAGGAAATGACCATGGACCAGAGTTTACACATGGTAAGACCAGACGTACATGTAGGAGATAATCATGGACCAGAGTTTACACATGGTAAGACCAGACGTACATGTAGGAAATGATCATGGACCAGAGTTTACACATGGTAAGACCAGACGTACATGTAGGAGATGATCATGGACCAGAGTTTACACATGGTAAGACCAGACGTACATGTAGGAAATGATCATGGACCAGAGGTTACACATGGTAAGACCAGACGTACATGTAGGAAATGATCATGGACCAGAGTTTACACATGGTAAGACCAGACGTACATGTAGGAAATGACCATGGACCAGAGTTTACACATGGTAAGACCAGACGTACATGTAGGAAATTACTATGGACCAGAGTTTACACATGGTAAGACCAGACGTACATGTAGGAAATGACCATGGACCAGAGTTTACACATGGTAAGACCCAGACTAAATGACCACTGGTACTTTTACATATTTTCAGGTTAAACTTAGAAACATGATTCATATTAGAGTGTTTAGTTTATATATTCTGTTGAATTAGGACAGTAGATAAATACATAAATCATCACAACAGCCAAAGACCTGGGTCCGTACCTGAGCGCAGCAGCCGGTCGATGGGCCTCTGGTCGGTCTTGGGCGTGGGTCTGCGGGCCCCGCGAGGAGAGCGTGTGTTGGGGGTGGATGCTGGTGAGTTGGGCTCCGGGGGCAGGTCCGGAGGGGGGTACCCGCTGGCCACCAGGACCTCCGAGGCACACATGAGACACACGCTGTGCTGACAGGGCAGGACCACCGGCTGCTTCACGATGTCCTTACACACGGAGCAGTGCAGCTCCTGCTCCAGGCTCTTCATGTTGGACTGAGGGCACAAAGCAGACGTGAGGATGAGGAGGGTTTAGACACATACACTGCAAAATATGATCAAGATGAGGTCATAAATGCATGAATGGAGTGGTTTTTATCTTAATCTGACACATTCTCACTGTGTTAGAACAGAATCTCCAATGGGACAAAGTTCTTAAATCTTATTTCAAGATTAAAAAAGCTTTGTCCCAAAATTATCATTATTTATAAATTCTCTTTTTGGTCGTAGGTTTGAGCCCATCAAGGGACCATCTCTACCTGCTCCCACTATTGTCTGCTGTCGTTGTGTCCTTGGGCAAGACACTCAACCCCACATTGCCTGAAGCCCCCGCTGAAACACCCCCTGCAGAGGATCAGAGGGACTGGTGCTGTGAGCGTTGGGTGCAGCTCTCATTGTCACCCCCCGACCCAGAAATGGACAAATAAAGGGGTTTAAAATGAATGAATGACAGACACAACAAGAGTGAGAATGTCAGACTACACTTTACAAACTGTTGAAAGAAGATGCAAAAACAAATCTAGAAATACTTCTTTAGTGTTACTTTTAAGATTATAGAAAAATTTTGAATTGTTTAATAGTTTTTAATCACATTACAGCATTTTTCTGTCATCAATCACAGACCTGGAGTTGTTTTTAGCTCCATCCAAAATAATATCAGAAACTTCTGACCTCATTTCAAACACATGAAAGTCAGATTACAATCTTTACACTATTATACTGCTCCATCCAGATTATACTCTCTGAATCTGAAGCCACACCTCAGCGTAGACACAAAACACTGAAATGTAGTGTTTAGTTTGATTTTCCTGACGCCGTCGCTGATTCACAGACTTCTCCTCGAGGATAAAAATAACTTGTGGCAGAGAAGAGCAATGAGAGTTCGTCCTCAGCGCGACACGGGGCGAGATTCACATCAAATATGGATAAAGACATTCATAATTCATCCTGGACTCTCTCAAAGTGGAACTAAGTCCAGCTGGAAGCATCCGGAAGACACCAGGACTGCTCTGCACCTCACGTCCAGAGTTCATTTTCTGATTCACTTCCTGCTTCTTCACCGTCCAAATTTGTCATGGCGAGAAGTGAATGAAGGACCAAATATGCAAGAACTCCCAAAATGAAAAAACAGTCCAGGGAAAAAATCAAACATGAAAATCCAAACTAAACTCGGGAACCAGGAGCAGAGACGACACAATGGACCAGCAGCAGAGGGACAGACGCAAAACATGTCTCAGTTTAATCCACCACTGCTGTTTTGTTTGGATCTGAACAAAAAAACCTGAATTTTTCTAAACCGGACAAATGTGTGTGACGCAGTATTTCCACAGCATGTTGTTGTGTCGCGGAGAGATCAGAAAATACTTTTATTGATCTCAAAATGGAGAAATCCTAAACAGTCATATACAGAGTCCCTCAGGATGTGCAAAAAGACAGGAAGTGTGCAAACATGTTAAAAAGGTTATAGAAAATAAGGAATAATATATCTTGCAGAAAAGAGACTATTTTTAACCTTTCTAACATGTTTGATCCAAGATGGCGTCGAATTCAAAGGAATGGCTTGTGCTCAGTGTTGCATGGGACCTACACGGGCACCGAAAGATTAGAGGAACTCGCCCATATTTGGTCATTTCTCTGGTCATCCCGGTTCTGAGCAGTGGACGAGTTCCCATGATGCTTTGTGCCAAATACGTGAGTGTGTGTGGCTCTCATGCACGTGCACAGAGGGGCTCGGCCACGTTCTGACCAATCAGAGGGCCAACAGAATCTGACCTTTATAAAAGCTGGAGGTTCTCTGTCAGGTTCTCTGGCAGGTTCTCTGGCAGGTTCTCTGGCAGGTTCTCTGGCAGGTTCTCTGGCAGGTTCCCTGGCAGGTTCTCTGGCAGGTTCTCTGGCAGGTTCTCTGGCAGGTTCTCTGTCAGGTTCTCTGGCAGGTTCTCTGTCAGCTGAGGTTGAGCTGTTTTAGTTTACATTGAGTTCTATGGGACATTTTGCTGGGTAACATGAATGTAGTCTGCAGTACCACAGCGCCCCCTGTGCCCATGGGTGGTACAGCTAAAAGCTAGTAACACACTATCCAGATAATATTATAGATCCATGGTCTGCACACATTAGAGAAGCCGCTCACATGACATTTGCACTAATTTTCACTAATATCGTCCGAGCGTCCTCTGCGGCGACGTGTTATTGGCCTAATGGTTTGTCTCGTCCTGTTGCCTTCAGTCGGTGCTGAAGCAGCTCCTGTCTGAGAGGATTAGAGGTTAAAATGCAGCATGTTGCAGAGATGCTGAAGGACGAGGCACAAGGACAAACCAGCTGAGACCATGAGACACACAAGGACTTATGGTTTACTTTCAATTCAAAATAAAATAGACCAGTGATTTTCAAACAGCGTGCCGTGGAAAGGATCCAATGTCAGCTGCCTGGTCAAAATCATGTGAAAAGAAAAGATTGAGAGTGGATTATAAAGACATTTTGGGCTTGTTTGATTTTCTATATACCACACATTGATGAGAATGACTTTGCTTTGCTGGTAACGGTTGTAGAGTTTCAGTTCAGTATCAGTTGGAGCTGGTGGTGTGTCATGTGATCGCATTGACAAAGGTTGGGGAACACTGACATATACTACACTGTTAAAAACTCATCCATTATTGCTCTGAAGAAGATCCGAGACGGGTTGAAACCATAGACTGTAAATATTAACAGACGTAGTGACGCATTTCTCCGCCATTGAAACTAATGTGCCACCGCTTTCGCCTTCTGTGGGCAGTTTCAAAATGGCCGTGTGGCTGGAAAATGATGTAAAACCGGATTTGAGCATGTGTTAGCTGCAAGAACCCCATTCATTTAACGAGTGCATTCAAAAGTCCACAAGATGTTTTCAAGAGGTGAGAAGACGGCAGACAAAAGCATTGGGTAATTCTGTTTCCGGGTACACCCCCACCAGCAAGGAGTGAGATTACAAGCAAGTCAGCGCACGTGCTCATGGACCTTTTTTGAGCCGGACCCGCCCCTGGTTGAAAAATTCAGTGCCTCGGACCTTTTCTTCTTCGTTCTACATAATATTTTTGCATAGATCCTCGAAGAGCAGCTGATCTCTCACGTTTGTTCTATAATTTTTTGATCCTTGAAGGCACTTGTTTAATGCACAGTGGCCTGGTCCAGTCCCGATCTGGATGGAGAAACATATACCTTAGTACCGTCAAACGCCTAAATGACACAACTCTTCATATTCGTAGATGGGCTTGTTCACACTAAAGGGCACAAAAGTGTGACAAAAGGCCAAAAATTAGATTTTAATAATCAGAAGATATTTTATGTTTTTCATGTTTCCAAACACCTCCTCTGTCCATTAGAAGTTGCTAGAACAACTAATAGTTTTATACATTAGACAAGTTTCCTATAGCGGCCCTGTTTATTTTATCTAACGGACGTGATGATTTGACGGAATGAGCTTTGCGGAAGTTTGATAGGTATTTTCAGATGTCCACAATTGATTCAGAGATTCTATTTTTTTTACACAGAGTAGAAACAAAGTGATACTTTCTTTTAGTCAACCAATTAAATGTGAAACCAGACAAGATTTTTTTCTTTCTCAAGTTTAAATTTTAGAGAAAAGAGGACGGAAACCATCACGTCCGTTATACATTTTTCAAGGGTCATTTAATTAATTAATTATTTTTTATTTTTCAACGATTCCTTTTCATATCAAGTGATTTCCTGATGTTGTGTTAACCATAATAATCTTGTGGGATGTCATCTGCCGCTTTTTCAGACTGAGGACATTTTATTTTCTATGTAACTGGCGTCATGGTCAAAAAAGAGGCTGATTTTGTCGTTTAAAATGTCACCAAAAATATATTTGACAATCTTTCCTTTTGATTTTATCCACACTATCTCTTTGATGTGTCTGTGTTTGAAATCTTTTTTCCAATCTATGATAGTAATTTTAGTTTTTAAGTTATAACCTTTTAAAGTCGAGATACTTCAATTGACACTTAACTGTGAACACACTCAGTTTGTGCTTTGGGGAAATACAGTCTTGTTTGGCCACTGTCGCTGTTACACACTGTAATCAGAAGCCCTTACTTTGAGGCAGTGCGGCGTCAGGGATCGTGGATTTATTGATTTGTTGTGAGTAAACCGTGGAAAACGCCACAACAGTATTGACCATTCATGGAAGTACGACTGAAGATAAATATCAGAAGGAAACAACTTTACACTTTAGTTACTCACAAAGACAATACTCTTTAGATATTTATCGCTCACGTTTCTGTGGCCGAGCTGCAGAGGAACATCCTCACAGATGTTTCCACTCAGGGCTGCAGCCCCTGATCCCTGATCAGGTCTGAGCCACTGTCTGCATGTTGTGGGTAATGACATTTAAATATTCACTTCCTGGAGATATTTGTCCTTTTTCAAATGTTTTTGTGACAAACCGATGTAGTTATTTATATTTTCTTAGAGTTGATTCGTTTAAGATAATATTAATGTTTATAATTGCTTGAACGACGAACAGTTAAGCCCTTTGCTCGATCAAAGAAACTGCCCAAAAGGCACTTTTTGTTTGTACGTTTCATTTGTCTTTGCTGTTTAATGAGAACCACACAACGCCTAAAGTGGTTTAAGTGTATTAAGATTTAAGTTAAGGACAAGTTGTTAATGTGTTAGAATCCTGATGGTTTTACACCAGGAGCCCGTGTTTCCTTCAGAGTCTAAGTTTGTGTTTTAATGTGACGTGGCATCTGCTTATCGCAGCAAAACACAAACTACAAAAAGAGCATTATTCTGCAGATATTCTGCAGAAAAAAACTCCAATCCTATAGTTTCTTTTGTCACTTTGCCAAGATGAAGATTTGACCCTATTCTGACAGAATGGGGTTACTGTGAATGATTATGGCTCTACTGAGATTCTGCATAATTGGCTTTATCAAAATAACCCAATTCCACTCATCCTCAGTGTCATTCTCCAAAGTCAACTGGGCCTGACCGGCTTCTTTAGCATTTAGCCTGTCGCCATTTCATCCATCTCACACCGGGACGTTTCCACATGAGTGTGCGTGTGTGCAGACAGCAGAGAGCCCTGCAGAGGGCCCCGCAGAGGGGGCAGGGGGCTCTGGTCCTGCGGGGGAGAGTGCTGCATGCGTCGCTATAGCGCATCTTACCTTCACCTGGAACCGCGGCGCCATGACAGCGTGATGAAGTACAGTATCAGCCTGCGCTACAGCACACGGCCGCTCAAGAAAAGGGGAGGGGGGTGGTTTGTGTTTGTGTGTGAGTGTGGGGGCGGGGGGGCATATAGGAACCAGTGGACCCTGAGAAACGTGGCCACGAGGTGCCGCGTGGAGCAGAGAGACGCGTGTGTCCACGGGGACTACAGTCCATTGTTCACTCTGTGCGGGATGCTGCAGCAGTGTCCCGCATCCCGTCTCCATGGAAACCGAGGAACGTGTCACGTCCCTCAGTGTGGAGCGGGAGGCTTCACTATGAAGCTCAGAATGAACTGAGAAACAGGTCTTCTCTGTTTGTGGCTTGTTGTGTTGCCTACAGACGTACACGCGCACGGGGACGCAGCAGTGAACGTGCACGTCTGATTTATGTCCATCATGAAACTGGGCCTCCGTGAGTTCATGTCTTTAAGCTTCATTGAAAACAAACAGCGCGCTGCACATTTAGCCACAGATTGAATGACGTGAATGAACCACAGACTCGGAATATTTGGCAAATATGAAATACGTGGATTATTAGGAGATAAAAAAGAAAAAAGATGGAGGTTACTATACTCACGCTGATGCGGCCCAACGCTTCCGTAGTCGGGGGAGCTGCTTTGACGTCCATCTCTGTCACTTGAAAGAAAAAGCCACCTGCTGTTGGCATCATCTGTGAATCAGTGACGGGATGAGACCATGGCCCACATCATCCACTGCGACCGGCCCGGATCCCCGCGATCATCACCCCGTTAGAGGCGCCTCCGATCCCAGATTATATGTCACAAAAACAGACGATTGACAGTTTATCTTGAAAAACAAATGTGTGAATACAGAAGTGAGCCGTGTGGAGGCTCACGTCAGGGTGAATACCGCTGGAGAGAGCCGCCTGTAGACACTCCGCCCCCCACCCCCCGCCGCGGTCATGCTGCTGTCATGGATGTGCGCAGCTTCATGCACACACAGGACTCTGAGGATGGAGCATTCAGACAGAAACACGTGTAGAAGCAGCTTTTGTTCTGTTAATGTTATACTGTAAATGTTATACTCGCTGTTATTCTCCAGGAGGAAAACGTAAACAAAACAACGACCACAGGGAAAACACCCTTTGATGTTTCATGTTTGCAGAAGAAGATGCAATGCGCAGAATGACCACCAGATGGAGCACTGAGAAAATAAATACACACACACACAGACAGACACATAGACATAGACACAGACACACACGGTTTTATTTCTATTTCTAAGTCACTTTAAGTCACTAATACACAAGGACTGAAAAGAAAGAGACCTGCACTGCTACTGCCTCTCTTTCTTGTATTGCCACTTTTTATTGTACATAATTATATCCTGCACAGACTATATTTTTAACCTTTAGCTTTTGTTTCATGAAATGTTTCACACTTGTGTCTTTTTGAACAATCTAAGTGACTCTCTCTGTGAGAAATGGGACATGTACATTTCTCCAGTGTGATATCAATAACATCTATCTTATCTTATCTTACACACTGTTTAAATTCTACCTGCGTTTCTTTGTTTTTTTAATCAGTCGTATACAAAAGATGCCTTGTGTTTTTGCCACAGTTTACAAACACAATTTGATCATCCACTTGCGCCGCCTCACTGTCGCCACTAGATGTCACTGTTCCTCTTCAGATACAGCCTCCCGCGCACTCACATGGCTTTCAATGTTTGTCATGTTTTTTGTTGGTGCAGTCTTATATAAACCAGTGCAGCCGGGAAGAAAAAGTGAAAAGTTCCCATATAGCGTGCGTAAAATAGCAGAAACTACATGTTGCCTGCTTGGAGTTGGTCTCACATCCACTTCTCTCTTTCTCATGTCAATACTGCGTGGATTTCAGACTCGTGGTTTGTTAACATCTGCAGTACAGACTCTTTTATAGGGTCCAGTGTCCACAGCCCGTGTCTGACTCACGCACACGCACACGCACCAGGGCGGCGCCTCACTATAAAACCTGCGCAGACCCAAAGCCCAGCTCCTGATCCTCCTCTCTGCTCCTGCCGCTGTCCTGTCCGCTCCTGCTCCGGTAAGAAAGTAACGGGACTTTTATCTGTCTGTCTTTCAGAGTATGTGGCTCTGAGGCTTGCCTGGGCTTATTTAGATTTTGCGTTTCAGTCTATCAATCCAAACTTTATAACGCAACCAGGAAGTTTGTCTATATCTTCAAAAATAGAAATCAAAGCAGTCTACAGTATTTAGTTGCCTTTATGTGTTGTATTAGATTTTGTGGATTGTCTCTTGAATATGCCAGTGAACTACAATCCTATTACTAAAGAGGAGACCTATATGGAAAATAACAAATCTATAATGTACGTAGTATGAGCGTGTTCAATGGTCAAGTATTGTATTGTTTTCATACAATATTGAGGTCTATCTTTAGCTTGAAAAGTAAATCACTTTTTTTTTCTCCATACATTTTCTGTATGTTAATGTAAAGTTGTTTAAGGGCGTGGTTGGAGTCATGGGCAAGCTCGCACAAGTCTTCTCCATGTGTGTTTAACCAAATACCAACTTCTCACCATGGCCCATATTGTCCCAGTCCTCCATAGACAAGGCCTTCTTTCATTGGGCATCAGTTGGTTAACATTCATGTCTCCTAACAAGAAGTAATAACAGGGTTGAGATCTGCTCATGGGCAGGGCCGAGCAAAGAGCACCTCTGCTTTACACACTCCTTAATCTTCATCAAGTGACGCAACTCATAAGGAAAGGAAAATAGTCATTACTCCTGTACACACAATACACAGCAGGGCGTCTTCCCCAATGCTGCGGGGAAACTTTGTGAGACTTTGAAATCGTTTACAAATGAATGGACCGATGAATGGATGATAGGACAAAGATATCTGTAGAATTGAGAGAAAAAAACACAGGATTCAGGGCAGCCATGATTATAGAGAAGTCTGATTATAAGAAAAAGCTTGAGTATTTTGTATAGTACAGCCTCGGACATGATTGAAACCTCTCATTCTCTTCTACTTTTCAGAGCCAAAGAACCAGCCATGCCTTCAGAACTGGAGAACTGTATGGAGGCTCTGATCCATGTCTTCCACCGTTACGCCAAAAACGGGACTCTGAACCGCAAACAGCTACGAGAGCTGATGGAGAATGAGCTCTGCAACTTCCTCAAGGTGAACTATGGAGCGACAAGAGCTAAATCTGAAAACATTTGCTCCAAAACAGCGGCATTTATCAGTTTACGTTTATTTCTTCTTCGGTCACATTCACAATAAATATTTCGTGTTGGTACGCAGAAAAAATACAAATAGATGAATGACCGAAGGGGTTTAGAGTCTCGTTGAAGTTTAAAGTGCACATTTGCATTTACATTTTATACAATTTTGTCTAAACAATATTTCTGTATTTCTCTTTCGCAATATTATATAATCCATAGATACGCACCAATTAGTCACCGTGATAATAAATGGGCAAAGATCTCCTCCTTCTGCTACATTAACAATATTATAGATACAGCTTTGGGATGTGAACACAGCCTGCACTGAGTCGACTTGGATTCTAACAAAATATGAATAGTACCGGACGCATAAAGTCACTGAAGAAGATGACAAAGTCTGTGATCAGATCTATAATCCAGACAGAAGACATGTTTTATTGTCGATGGTAGAGACAGCACAAACAAAACAATGCTTGTGATATGATACAGCTGAGGAATGGAGACCGTCCAATCAAAATTCACCAATGCGCCTTCAGAAAACCATGCAGTGGAAAAGTACAGCCTCGTGCATGCTGTTAGAACGATGAGTTTTACTTTAACCACAGTTGCTTCAGTGTCATGAAATACCCAAGCCATCTTAAGGGTATATACAGTAGGAGGATTTTCCCAAATTTAAGGAAAGAACCGCCCTCTCCACAAAACTCTCTTGCTAGCACGTATCACCATGGAGATGATTGACCAATAGGAGGACCAGTCGTCTTGATGATCCACCCAGAAGTATAAAATCCCCCTCTATACCTGCAGTTTACATGCACCCAGATTTGGCAGGCAATGGATTAAGTTACAATTGTTCAGCCTAATATTGAAAACAAATATAAAACCCCACATTAATCTTAAGCTTAGTGACCAGTGGTTTAACACGTCTTCATTGGGAGAACTTAAATAGCCTGGGGAATGCTAATAAACAAAGAAACATTTTTGGAAAGTCACTGATCAGAGTCAGTTAGTGTAATGAATCATGATCTGAGCATGTTGTATGTGCTTTCTCCTAATTGCACTGGAGAATGGATCAAATGTGGATTAAATGAGGATCTATGAATCTTATACTGTATGTGACGTGGTTTAAAGCAGCAATATGTCAGATTTTCATGTCTAGTCATAATTAAAGGGCCCTAATCTGTCATCATTAAAGGGCTCTAATCTGTCATCATTAAAGGGCTCTAATCTGTCATCATTAAAGGGCCCTAATCTGTCATCATTAAAGGGCCCTAATCTGTCATCATTAAAGGGCCCTAATCTGTCATCATTAAAAGGCCCTGTTCTGTCTTCATCAAAGGGCCCTAATCTGTCATCATTAAGGGCCCTAATCTGTCATCATTAAAGGGCCCTAATCTGTCATCATTAAAGGGTCCTAATCTGACATCATTTAAGGGTCCTAATCTGTCATCATTAAAGGGCCCTAATCTGTCATCATTAAAGGGTCCTAATCTGTCATCATTAAAGGGCCCTAATCTGTCTTCATTAAAGGGCCCTAATCTGTCATCATTAAAAGGCCCTAATCTGTCATAATAAAAAGGGCCCTAATCTGTCATCATTAAAGGGCCCTAATCTGTAATCATTAAAGGGCCCTAATCTGTCATCGTTAGAGGGTCCTAATCTGTCATCATTAAAGGGCCCTAATCTGTCATAATTAAAGGGCCCTAATCTGTCATCATTAAAGGGCTCTAATCTGTCATCATTAAAAGGCCCTAATCTGTCATCATTAAAGGGTCTTAATCCGTCATCATTAAAGGGCCCTAATCTGTCTTCATTAAAGGGCCCTAATCTGTCATCATTAAAGGGCCCTAATCTATCATCATTAAAGGGCATTAATCTGTCAAAATAATAAACTGCTCTTTTCCAATACTTCTTTAACTGATAACAGTAGTTCAGAGATATTTGAATTTATAAATTACTTTTCCAGCCTCTAAATCTTGTTATTGTTTTCATTTCGATGTCCCGCCCTCCACCGTTTCACCAATCAGAAAGTCTGTGATCCGTTTGCGTTCATGTCTTGTTTACATTATTTTCTGATCGTGTGTTTGTTTGTTTGCTGCAGTCCCAGAAAGACCCCAGCGCCGTGGATAAAATCATGAGGGACTTGGACGCTAACGGAGACGGCCAGGTGGACTTTGAGGAGTTTGTGTCTCTGGTTGTTGGACTTTCTATCGCCTGTGAACAATGCTACCAGATCCACATGAAGAGAAAGGTTTAAATGAAGCCGAGGACAGAAGAGACCTTTTTCAAGTTGTTTTTTTGTAGTTTGCAATTAAAATACCGACCATTTCACTTTGATTGTGTGTCGTGTGGTGATTATAATGAAATGGTAGTTGTTACAAAGTCCACATCATCCCAGAAGAACACCTTGTATTTTGCAGTGTATTCATTCATGATTAATTCAACAAGTAATGTGCAATGCATTAAATGAACAATAACAAGGCCAGTCCTGCAGAAAAAACTCTAATTAGTAAAATAAAATGTGTGTATAGCTTGTTTTCTTATTTTGGTAAATAATTTATTCAAGTACTTCTCAGCTTCATATATATACACAAAGTGGCTTACAAAAGTATTAATAAAACATAAACTTTAACCAATCGGGTCATGGTTTCAAACCACAAACAAAGAATTCATTTGGGATTTTTTTGAGTGAAAAAACACAACAAAGAAATAGACAACAATGAAGAGAAATCAATCTCAAACATGATTTTGTTTTTTTATGGGAAAGAGTATGTTTACCAGTATGTTACCAGTGTAAACCAAGCCTGGTCTTACCACACCATTGTTCTAATATCATTTCGTACTAGGGTCTGGATTTGCTCCATTGACTCCATGAACAGGTGGGAGGGGCTAACTCCTTTTACAGATTGAAACGATTGGACCTGAGTTTTCTGTGACGTATGTAATGAGCCCAAGCCCCGGTGATCTAAGATGGCGTCCTGTTCAAATGAATGGCTTGTGCTCAGTAGATCATGGGACTTCACAGAGACCGGGAGATTAGCAGAACTCGCCTATATTTGGGCATCGTCTGGTCCTCCCAGTTCTGCGCAGTAGACGAGCTCCCATGATGCTTTGCTCCAAATACGCGTGTGTGGCTCTCGTGCACGAACAAAGAGGGGCTCGGCGGCGCTCTGACCAATCAGAGCTGATCAGAGCAGCAGCAGAGTGGAGCCAGAGCGGGAAGGAAAGGAGCAGAGTTTGTGGCAGTAAAGTGTGGATTTAAAGAAAACCGAAGGATTTAAGAAGAAAAAAAGTTCAGGACAACAAGAGACACTAAAATCTCCACAAAATCCGATCTTTATGAAAGCTGTAGGTTCTCTGTCAGGTTCTCTGTCAGCTGAGGTCGAGCTGTTTTAGTTTACATTGAGTTCTATGGGACTTTTTTCTGAGTAGCCCTTGTGAATTTAGTCTGCAGTACCACAGCGCCCCCTGTGGCCATGGGTGGGACAGCTTAAGCTAGTAATACTCTATCCAGTTATTATCACAGATATTTAGCCTCGCTTTAGCATTTAGCCTAGCTTTAGCCCGTGGAGAGTAGAACCACAACATCTTTGCTTCAATAACATTTACTAAACATTCCTCTTGCTCCGGCTTCAGTTTCTTGATATTTGGATTGAACCAGAACAGATTATTTTACTATCACATTCTCCGACAAACTACAACCAGCAAATTCAGCACAAACTCTTGACGTCACCGACGCCGACCTACAACACCCGCCTCCCCCGCTCTCTGATTGGTCGGAGGGGATTCAACCAAAGAAACTGCAGCCACTAGGATCAGACCCAGACGTACATGTAGGAAATGATCATGGACCAGAGTTTACACATGGTAAGACCAGACGTACATGTAGGAAATGATCATGGACCAGAGTTTACACATGGTAAAACCAGACGTACATGTAGGAGATGACCATGGACCAGAGTTTACACATGGTAAGACCAGACGTACATGTAGGAGATGACCATGGACCAGAGTTTACACATGGTAAGACCAGACGTACATGTAGGAAATGACCATGGACCAGAGTTTACACATGGTAAGACCAGACGTACATGTAGGAAATGATCATGGACCAGAGTTAAACTAAAAAGCCAAGATTGATCCGAAATCAAACCTGGAGCCACAGGATTCCTTGTGGACTTGTACATTGGCAAATAACAGTTTTACACAACACAAATCTGACTTTTATGAATGGATGGCAAGAATAAAAAAGTGTTCAAAGAAATCCGTGATAAATCCTAAATGCAGAATGTCAGAATGTGTGGGATGCAGAGCTTGTTTATAAATACCATCATTTTTATTCGACTCTCACCTGGTATAATACACACTGGTGTGTGTGTGTGTGTGTGTGTGTGTGTGTGTGTGTGTGTGTGTGTACAGAGACAATCCTCTTTACATGTTTGATAAATTCCGTCTTATCACTTTCCCGAGGAATCTGCAGAATGTCACAACCATAAACACGCCCTTTGTAAAGAGAGTGTTGAAACTCCTGCGGAAAGAGCAAACACTCAAATACCGCGGCTGCTGTCCAATACTATTGTTCTTCTCACAGATACGAAATATGAAATAATACAGCACTTTATTGAATGTACAGTAATTCATACATTAATAATCTGCACATAGAGATACAGATGTTCTTTATTGCTTAATAACGTTCTTGCGTGTATATGATCTTAGTCATGAATGAATATGTTTGTGCAATTCAAAATAAATGAAAGAATCCTACCGTTATTACAACACTGGTCGTACATTTATTGACATTTGTAAACATTTATGGACATTGGTTCATCCCGCTCCCTGAGAACCAATGGCTCTAGGTGTTTGTTAA